AATATATTTTTTTGTTTTCTCAATGAAATTATTTAGTAAAATTAGCTGTAGACGGTTGGCAGGTTATGAAGTATTTTACATTGTATTTCATATAGTTGTACATGCCTGTACAACATCTGAAAAAGCACTCTGTATTTTTTAATTTTTGAAGAGGTAACAACAAAAATACTCAGTCACAGTCTATTTGCACAATGATAACCTGGGTAGAAAATTTATTTCTCTGTCTCTTTCCAGGCAACTGTTCATTTATTAAGGATGCAGGGAATCGAACTGAATGATCATGCTGTACCTCCTAAAGATACAAGCCAGAATCATCCAGGATATGTTTCATATCTTCCTGAAAGTGATCCAGAATGGAACACATACAGGTGCTTTTCTTTGATATATAACAAGACCTAGGAACTCTAACAGATTGTTATTATCAAACACAGACAATAATTGCAAAAGTTCTTAGTGAAATTCATTGTCACCAGATGCTTCATATTTTTAGTAGTCATGGTAATGGGAAAAGGAAAACAATCTAAAGAAAAATCTTTTGAAATAATTTTTCTTTAGTTTGCTTTCATTCTGGAGTGTGCATTTGATTTTTCATTTAACATTTATTTCTCTGAAACTAGAAGCTAGTATCCCAACCTTAAAAACTATTAAAACTGTGTTATATTGACATTTAGACCATGACATTCTATATTTAAAAATATAAAAACCAAATTAAAAAAATCTTTGGCTTTATAGCCCCTATAACGATAATGATGTCTGAGTACCCAAATACATACAATGAATTACTTCAGTTTGCAAAACTAGTCTGTTCCATCCAATCAACTGAAATGAATAAGGGAGAGTGGAACATAGCAAGTACTGGGGTTTTTCTGGTCTCACACGATTATTTCTTGTGAAGGAGGAGAGGGGGGAGAATTCTGAAGATGATATTTAAACTCTCTTCTGTTCACATTCATACTAATATGAGCCTCTTTGTGACAGTGGTCATGTCCTTAAAGAGTAGGATGTCAGAGTTGTGTCCCTAAGTCCGTTCACTAAGCCTGAAGATCAAGTGAAGTTTGTCACATTGTCTGCTTGCAAATGTTCAATAAAATGGGAAAAAGTATAAACTGATCAGAACCAAAGGACAAAGATGATGAGGATTCTGTTCCAAAACTTGCTACTAAGCTGTTTTTGAGGTTACCCCATTAGATTAAAAACTCACAGGAAAAAAGCACTTTGGCCTACTGTGTCCTGTACCATTGTTGACCTAGTAATACCCCGCGTCAGTTCGTGCTTTTGGTTTTGTGACTTAAGCATGGCCATTCTGTATGGTTATTCAAGATTGTATTTTTAATATGGGTTTTTCTAAGTAATGGTACATCTTGATAATTAAAGAAAAAAAAAAATTAAAGTTATTGAAAGAAAGTTATTGCATAGACTGTGAAAAAGATGTTATTCTATTAAAAATGAACTTAGCATTTCAGAACATCTGGAGATATCTTTGAGTGCAAGAACACATGCAGTTGTTAACGGAAAAAGACGCCTCCTCAAACCTTGAGTGGAATGCCTTAACTTGTAGCTGTATTCAAGTACAGCCCCGTCATGGATACTTAAATGATTTCTAGCACTGATGTGTGGATTCACATATGCATTTTAAAAAACCGTGTGGATGAAGCATGAACTAGAGCCACTATTTTTTAAGCTAATAGTATTTGAGTGTCAGAGACTATTCATTTAATCTTGATACTAATTCCTTTCCTGAGTCATCTTCTTATCCAAGTAAAATATAAGTTAATGGATGAAGACTTAATAAATGCAACTGAAAAGTAATTAAAAATTTTTTTGTTGTCAATTGAGATGTACTGCTGCATATTTAACCTTACGATGTAATTCCTTCTAGTGTTGAAGTTTTGGAATAACAGCATCTTTACACTAATTTTATAGTTTATGGATAGACTCCTTATCTCAGTATGCTATGGAAAACTTCCAACGTGCAGCCGAAATAGGAGAAGACTTGAATGAAGCCTGGATTGTTCACAATGCTGTGGTGTATGTCTTAAACTACAATAGACATCTTATCTCTTCAGGAAGACAGAGGGAAATTACTGAGCATCTGCAGACTCTTCTTGGAGCCATCAAGACTGTTGGACACAATGGGTAAATTTATATGTTTGGTTATGAACATGCTCTTTTTTTTCTAAAACAGAAAAAATATTTTTACAAACATTGTAAATCACTTTGTGCTGTGAAAGACTTATTGCTGGCTTTTATTATTAGTAGGAGGGCTTTGGTATATACAGAGTAGTTCAGAAGATAAATTTAATTTTGTGGCGTGAAAATGACTTTTTAATCCTTTCTATTTGTTCTTTGTTACTATCCACTCTAAGCCATATTAACTTTAGACTAAGCAATATTAGACTAAGCAATTATCTTCACTAAGCCACATGTGCATGTGAAATAGTATTTTGTTAAGATAGTCAGAAAGAATCCGGAACATTTTCTTAGCCTGTGAGTTTGGAGGACAGATGGAAATGTGTTTGCGTGCTGTCAGTTTCTCTGAAGTTGAATTATATTGTAAAGGTAGTTGACTGTAAATATTTCTTACCAGAGTAAGGTGGTTACTACTGGTTCTGAAACATAAAAGAGAAAAAAGGCAAAGGGAATGTGCATATCAATAGGCCATCAAAATGGGAACATAGATTCCACAATGGTTTAGAGAAATCCTGTTCTGTAGTAGATGCAATGGGAGAATTATTGAATATGACAGAGGAGATGCTCAAGTCCAAGTCTGACTGTGGGACAAAATCCTAGACGTTTTAGCACATACTGAGAGTGACCTCAGCACTGGGCGAACTGTTAGGACCAGCGGCAAAGAAGTCTTTTTTAACAGTATTGGAGAACAAAGCCCGAAGTGCAGTTTGTGCAGAGATGAAGAATGGTAACATCTGCTTATTACTTCTGACATTTATATTAGCATGTATCAGAAATAATCTTTTAGTCATAATTCAGTTTGTGTTTTCTCAAAAAAAAAAAAAAAGTAATTCCAGCTCAGCAGTTGCTTTGCATCAAGAGTCATACAGTGCGCTAAATAAATGGGTTTATCTGAAGGGTTAGGCTTAGGTTAATTTTTTAGGAAATAGTTATTATTTTCTTGCATAGCAGCCCACTAATAAAAAATTGTATTTTAAATGTGATTGTCTGACATTTTTTTTTTTTCTGTGAGGAAATAGAAGCTTCAGTTACAGAAAGTGATGTGATATGATGTAAATTATGAAAGTTGGTTGTGGTTTTTTTTACGTTTAACCATTTTAACTGCTTTTCCAATGTGAAAATTTTTTGTAACATCCATAATTTTGCTTTCTAAGAACAATCTAGGTTTTCAAGTAATGTTTAGTGCTTGAAAGTAATAAACTTTGTTACTTTCCTGTTGTATCTGTTGCAGTATGCACTTCTGATTTTTGTTTTCTCCTACAGAAGTACTGTGGTTTTATTGATGTTATGTAATGCTTTGGCTCGGGGCTTAATTCTTTGTTGGATTCCAAAGCCAAAACTTGCTGAGAAGAAAAAAAAAGATGCAACAACAGACAGAAGCAGAAAAGCTGCAGCAAAGAAACATGAAAAAGCAAATGTCATCCAGTCCTTTTCAGTAGATCCCAGTGGACTTCCTGATATCAAAGCTGCCTTAGAGGTACAAAGCCCTCACTTTTTTGTAGTCTTTTTTGGTCTGCTGTCAAATATTACAATTCATATAAATAAAACTGTAGAATTTTTTGCAAAGAATAGGCTACCATCTTTTACAGTTCCTGCCACCACAGGTCCTCCCCCAATGCACACTGAAGTTCCGTGCCAGCTAGGGCTGAGTACTGTAACTTCTATTTGCTGTATGGGCTGACTTAACGGAGATGTTGTTAGGCTGAGAGGCGCACGTGCAATAATTTTAAAATAAATAATGGATGGCGTGTTCCATACAAAGAGCTTTCCATGTTTCTCCTGTGATTCAGTCTTGGTTTTTCTTCTTGGTGTTTAGATTTGTGAATTTGCCCTAAATGTGACAACTGAAACCATACCTAATGAAGCAGTACCTATTGCTGCACAGCAACAGATCATTGCTACGTGGGTGAAAGCAAATCAGTTAAATCAGCAGCAGATCAGACATAAACTTGGGACTGAGGAGGAGGTATTATTTCCCTGAAATTCTGCATGATGTTGGAACTTCTTTGCAAGATTAAAATGAAATTCATAAATTCATTTAGTAATGACTGAAATTATCAATGTGTATTTTCTTCTATGTATTTGAATACAATGTGAAAATAATTTTTGGCTGTAGTTCCCGTAAATCTTTACGGAATACAGCAAATTCTTCACATTGGGCGTAGCAGTGAGTCTACATTTCTCAACGCTACCTTCTGTTTTTAGCTGCCAAGAATAATTATAGTGATGTTTGTCATATGATGACTATATAACAAAGTTGGGTTTGAATTAATAAATTTCAAGTAATAAAATGGCTGCATTAAAAATATTAAGAAAAATCAGCTATATTTATATCAACATTTAATATGGTCTCTATATGGACTATGGACCTAGTAAGTTGGAAATTAATATTTTATTCCTATCATTTTATTATGTCTATAAAACCAGAATCCCTCAGTGGTATATGGTATTTACATTCATTGTATTGATGCTATGTTTTTTGTAATGGTGAAACTGTAGTAGTTCAGAATTCACAATATTAACTAAAATAAACAAACACATAATATCCCCCATTTTAAGGACACAATAAAGAGGGGAAGACTTGCTTAATACAAATGAAGGTTTTCAAACATAATTATTATTATCATCATCTCAATCAATGTCCTTAATAGTGTTTACTTGCAAAAAAAAAAAAAAAATCTGTTAATGTGATTTTTTTATTTCTGTTTAGAATAATGATGAAGCACAAAATCCTATGGCAAGAATTCTTGTTGGTCTAGAAATGTATTCATGTAATGGCTTGGGTCTCATGGATTTCACTGTTCCTAGTTTATCTCAGGTATTTAGTTTTGTTTTATTAGGTCTCAAGTTTTAAGAAATTGCATAGTATAAATGTGATTTTGGTTTCAGTTTTGGATGGAGGCAAAATTAATTTTGAAACTTTTGTTGTACCATTATTTCCTTTAAAACTTTCCAGGAGATTGAATAGTTATGACAGGTAGAAGACTTCTGTGACTGAATATTTTCGTTTATCCAAAAAACAGATAGCATTAGAATACCAGTATTAGAATTAGTCCCATGTTGCTCTAACAGATTATTTCCATTATTATCCATCAGGTAAGTATAGTGGGTTCAGATAAATTTTGTACAGAACCATACTTCATAGAATCATAGAATCGTTAAGGTTGGAAAAGACCTTTAAGATCATCCAGTCCAACCATTAGCCTAACAACTACCAAGTCCACACTAAACCGGTTAAGGGTAGAGTAGTAATTTCATGTTTCCTGGCTTGGTGGCTGGATTATTTATAGTGAAAAACTAGGAATCATTAAGGTTGGAAAGGATCTCTAAGATCATCAGTCCAACCATCAACCCAACACCACCATGTCCGCTAAACCATGTCCCAAAGTGCCATGTTTGCCTGTTTTTTGAACACTTCCAGGGATGGTGACTCCCCCACCTCTCTGGGCAGCCTGTTCCAATGCTTGACCACCCTTTCCATGAAGAAATTTTTCCTAATATCCATTCTGAACCTCCCCTGACGTAGCTTGAGCCCATTTCCTCTCATCCTGTCACTTGGTTCTTCTGACCTTTCATTTTTTGTGGAAAAAGCTTTATAGAATCAGAGAATCATTTAGGTTGGAAAAGACCCTTAAGATTGTCGAGTCCAGCTGTAAACCTAACACTACCAAGTCCACCACTGAACCATGTCACTAAGTGCCACGTCTACACATCTTTTAAATATCTCCAGGCATGTTGACTCAGCCGCTTCCCTGGGCAGCCTGTTCCAGTGCTTGATAACCCTTTCCGTGAAGGAATTTTTCCTAACACCCAGTTTAAACCTCCCCTGGCACAACTTGAGGCTGTGTCCTCTCGTCCTATCACTTGTCACTTGGGAAAAAAAGGCCAACACCCACCTCATTACAGCCTCCTTTCAGGTAGTTGCGGAGAGGTGTATTTTAGGGTTTCCACCTCATTACAGCCTCCTTTCAGGTAGTTGCGGAGAGGTGTATTTTAGGGTTTGTATTAGAAGTATTCAGAATTTCAACAGAAACCTTCATGTTACAGTGAATTTACATTTAGCACTTTCAAGGTAGAACACCACAACAATTTGTTACGATGTAAAGCATTAGGTGTTTTTTTGATGAGTCTTGTACGAGGCACAGTTTCTCAAAGCTTTTGATCAGTCTGCCATGATTACTCATGCTGAATAGTGCCACACTTTTCCTGTGATCCTGTTGGTTACCAGGCTATTCAAGAGGAATAAAGGTGGTGTAGAAAGGTTTATATCCTCTATTTTCAAAACAGTGCATTGTAGTCTTACCTGTTTGATTACCACATTTATAATTTCTTCCTCCTGTAAAGAGCTTTCTTCAAGGAGTAGGATGTATTTCCCCACTTAGCTAGGGATCTGGTGACATTGTCTAATACTTTTGTAGAATTCCTTCTTTCTAAAGACTAGGATCTGGGTACTTACAAATATATAGGTATCTAATTCTAGTTGGTCTACAGATTTATGCCAAATATTATGAGTTAGCTTTAGCTATTACTTCAGTGCCTTAGTTTTGGAGAGCAGTATTGTAGTATCCTCATTTTGACCAATTCGTTAACAATTCCCATTATCTTAAAAAGATGGAACTTTCTCACACGTGCAGAAGCAAGGAAGATGTTTAGATCCTATAATGAAACTATATATGAAACACTGTTGCTGCAAAACCAGTTCTATCTCCCATTCTTACCTTTGGCTTAATTAAAATGGGCTCTGAATTTGGGAAGTCCTGTTCCACTGATTTTCAGAAGAGGACTGAGGACATATAGTAAATCCTGGCAGATACTGCTGGTCAAAAGGCATGCATGCTTACAGCTGGATTTATATAAACTATTATAATACTTACTACAGGGTGAACAGTGCTTCCCTATTGTATATTTTGATTGTTCTTGTAACTGGTTTTCTAGATTGTTTTATCACATAGTTGTTCCATGTCCAGGTGTGTTGTATGGAAGGTACAGCTGTAAACATGTAAGTGCTATAGAAAAGAGCATGATAAAAACCTGAGATTTAAACTCTTTTTCTTCCTTTCTTCCCCCCGCCCCAGTTAGTGGAATTGGCTTTAGAATGCAGTTGGTCAGATTCCTTAGTGGAATTGCAGACACTGACGCGACTTATGTATTTTGCATATGTATCACATGACTATGAAATAGTGATGACTTGTTCCAAAAGGATCTTGCAATCAGATGATAATTTTTTCCACAGAAGAGATACTAAGAAATATGAAATGTAAGTACATGGAATTTTGCATGATACTGTGGTATACTTGAACTAAGTTTTGAAGAAAGATTATGTAGGGTAAATGCATCTGATCACATAATCAAAAGTGAAAGAATTTTTTTTACAAAGAAGCTGTACAGTTAGAGGCGATAGTGAAATTTTCCTACTTCTGCTGACTCTGTCATTGCCAGTTACGTAAGTACTGCAGATGATGTTTTGGCTCTGCAGCGTAGCCTGAGTGTGCAGTGTGCGGTGTGAAATCCAGATTGTGGCTCTGGACCCACTTCAGGAAGATACATGAATTTCGTTATTCAAGTGAGTGAACAGGTCATATATACATGTGTTTGAGTGCCTTTCTGGGGAGCATTGCTTTTCTGAGGTGGTGTCTGGCAACCGTGGTCTTTTCACACTTTTACAGTTTCCAAGCAGAAGGTAGCTTCCTCTAGTTCTTTTGCTGATGCAAATTGCTTCCAGTGCCGAACTGTCTCTAATACACAAAGGCTCTACACAGTTCATGGAACAAGATGGAGCTGCGAATGATAATAGGTGATAGCAGCTACTGTATTCGAAGCTCTGGTGTCAGGTAGTCTTTATGGTCTTTATTACCACCTATGCACATGGGTGCAGTAAGAATGTAACTCATTTCTCTAAAAGCCCAGACTCTTACTTAACTGATAATTTAAAACTTTGATGTCAAAGAAAAAAAGAAAAAAAAGGTTTCATATATAAACGGATCTGTTGGTGGAGTCCTATATTATAAAAAGGTGATCTCCTTCAATCCTTCTTTTTTATATAATTTCCTCCAAAACCAGAATGTAATCTTATCAAAAGAGGAAGGAATCGACTCCATTTAGTAACAATTTGTTGGAATATAGGAAGTTTGAAATAGACATGTGAAACACTTTGAATATGATTTATCGTTCATTTTTCTCTCTGAAAAATAATTTCTCTTTTAAAAAAATATGCTGCTCTTTGAAATTCACGGTTGTTTGCTCCATGGGGAAAACCATGTAAACCAAAATAAGATATTTTAATATGAAATATATAGTTTCAGAACATTATGGAAATTGAGAACATATTTGCTGCATATCTAGCAATCTGCAAACTTGGTCTTCCTATGGTAAAGCACAATTTCAGGACAAAGAAAGGTTAAATATTTATTTTTAATTTTTTTTTTTTGTTGTTAACTTGTACTGTAGAACACTGGTGTCCTCTTGTGGACACAAATCATAACTGCGTGGCAGTTCTCACCACAGGGTAGGAACTAGGCCAACTAGAATGTGTATGTTTCTATATATTGTTGCACATTGTAACTAAGACATTTAAAAAAAAAATCTTGCAAATTGTATTACTTCTTTTCTTACAAAATAACTGTTAACCAAAGATTTCAAATTTATTTAGGTATTTATTTTTAACTGCTTAACTGCTGGGACTGAAATCTACATTCTTTACTTTTAAATATAGTGGAATATGATCCAAATCAATTTCTCCAGAGCCATGTTGCATACTTTACCAGACATAAGCGAGACCAATTCCAAAATAAAGTATCAAAAATTGTCTAATTTTCCCTATTTCTGTTTTTAATTGCTTGCCATTTACGTTTGACTTTGGACTAATATTTTGTTTGATGTACAATAGTGAATAATGGGGAGAAAACCCCAAATTTTTTTCTCCCCTTGCTAAATGTAGACAATAATTTTTAAAATCTGATTTCACCGGTATTTTCATTAGAGTGTGAAAAGATTTCTAATATCTTTTCACAAAATGTTCAGTCTTTGAAATATTTTCTGATTTGAAAAGAAAATGCAGTAGAAGCACTTGTAACTTCCAAAGCTAGGGACATCTATTTAGTAACAACTTGAAAGCATCATTAGTAGGAACTGGTATGTTCTTAGACTGTAGGACTAGCACTTCTTCAATTATTTGCCTTTATTCAGGCCTGGTAACAGAGTGAGACAAGAAATGTTAAGCACTGCTGCCTGTATACAAGGAAAGAGTATAATGGAAAATTTGTCTGGAAGAAAACATTTGCGTGTAGCAGCATCAAAAGCCTTTGTTCAGAGTGCCAGGTATGTTTTATTTTGAGGGAAGACTAATATAAAACAGACCTAAAATTTCATTTACGCATTTGGGGGTCAACATACTCTCTCCCAAGACTGATAAAAATCAAAATAGTTGTGAGTTGAAATGCTTAACAAAGGATTTGACAGATTTTTACAGTTTAATAAATTTATCAAGTACCATATATTCCATATAGCTGTTCTTGTAATGTCATGGGATCATAGGAGAATCTGGTTGGAAGGGACCTCAGAAGGGCTCTAGTCCAAACTCCTGCTCAAAGCAGGGCCAGCCCAGGGCTTTATCCAGTCTGGTCTTGAAAACCTCCAGGAATGGAGACTGCCCGGCCCCTGTGAGTAACCTGCTCCACTGCTTGACTGTACTAATGGGGGAAAAAGTTCCTGCTTATATCCACTCTGAATTTTTCTTATTTCAAGTTATGCCCATTCTTGTTTGTCCTGCCATCCACTAAGAAGAGCCTGGCTGCTGCTTCTCAATAACTTTGTTGGGTTATTAAGAAACTTCTCCTCGTTAGGTCCCCCAAAGCCAACACTTCTACACGCTGAAGTAGCCCTGTACTCAGCCTCTCCTCTCAAGGCGAGTGCTCCGGTCCCTGGATCATCTCGGTGGCCCTCCAGTTTGTCCATGTCTGGTGTGTGTTGGGTGGCCTAGGGCTGGACGTGGTAGCCTAGGTGTGCTCTAAAAGGTGCTGACTGGAGGGCGGTAATCCACGCCCTCAAGCTGTTGTCTGTTCCTGTTAGCGCAGCCCAGGATGCTGTTGGCCGTTGTTGCCAGAGCACGCTGCTGGCTGGCTTTCAGCTTGCTGTTCCGCAAGCCCCGCCATGTCCTGTTCAGCAGAGCTGCTCCTCAGCCAGTCAGTCCTCAGCCTTTACTGTTGCAGAGCGTAATATTAATATTGTGAACTGTATGTCATGAACCCAAAGTGGAAAGATTGCTTTAAATAATGAATAGGCAGGAGAAGGTGGTACATGGATGATGCATGACTTTGGTATGAATTCTTTGCTATTTGGAAGAAATAAATTAATGAGCAAAAGTAGGCAATTAGAACTCTTAGAAGATGAACACGTGATGGCTGATGTGAGGCTGTTAACATTGTAATACTTTCTTCCTTCCATTGATCATTAAAAAGAGAGTGATGAATGTAATTTGATAGCCAGTGTAACGTAACTCTGAGGTGATGTCATGTTGCAGATGAATCCGTGTTCTTTTCAATTTGCATGTTATGACAAGCACTTTTTCAGGAAGGTGTGAGCATATGTATATAGCTCAACACATTCCAGAAGGGAGACAAAAAGTGGTGAGCAAAAACTAGGCCTTAGTAAGTCTAGTGTTAATACATAAGGTATGTGAGCATATGGACTCTAAAAATCATGAAACTGTGGGAGAAAATGACAAAGACCACCAGATTCAAAACCTACTTTTTTTAAAATAGTGAAACTATTCAGTGGGTGATTGTTTAATACCAATCCATAATTTTTAGCTGAATTCTAAAGCTTTTCTACACTCATATGAGTACTGTGTTGTATGGCAATCTGGAGAATTATTAATTTTTATTAATTCAAAGAAACATTTGCATGGAATATGCTCAAAACAATTTGAATGCAGCTAGAGGCATTCGGGGTATATTCTTGTGTTACAGTGGTCCTGTACTGTGCAAAATCCATAGCATTTTAATAATTGTTTTGTTCTATTTTGTAATGTTTTTAGAATAAGAAATTAACATAATAAGAAGCCAAAAAAGTAGATTATTCCAATGAGAACATCTTGAGTAGATCTCTACTATTTTTTTAATGAAGGCTCTTGAGCTAAGATTACACTGAAATACAGTAAAACCATCAATGCGGTACTTGTTTATTGCTACTTTTGCTGAATATGTGAAGGTGTTTTGTTCATAAAAATGGAAAGTATCTTTTGTATGAAGGTCATATGTTAACCCCTCATTGCTGAGATTATATATGGTGGTGCCTAGATCAGGTAAACCTGGATGGTTGTAGAAGTAAAATCCTTTATTTTGGCTAGGGTGTGATTGTTTTCCTTCATTAAGCTGTACTTCACTTTCTTCAGGTATGCAGGTGAAGCCGGAAATTACTCCCTTGTAATGTTTGCAGCTCGACAGTTTTGGAATACGTGTTTACCTTTGCTAGGTTCTCCACATGACAGAGACCAGTTTAAAGAACCCACTGAAATAATTCTTAAGAATATAATTAAAGCAGAATCTAAAAATAAACAGGTAAGCATATCTAGTAGGTATTGTTAATTGTGCTTGTGTTTAGTGATTGGTACTGATGATAAAGAAAAATTTTGGTTTGCTCTGAAGCTCTGGATGCATACTTCAAGATAGCTTTCCTAAAAGAGGAAAGTGACTTATTTGTCATAAACACATATATGGTTTCTTACCTGCATTCACATAGCACACCTGCACACATTCACGCATACAGGGAATCACATACTCTTTTTTCCCATTTGGTGGTGGTTCTGGTTTTAGCCAATTGTCAGACTCACAACAGTTTTCTTCAAAATAATTTGCTATCTGAAGGGCTGTAGTGTTTCAGTTTGTGAAGCTGACAAAAGGGAATGTTCATTCAAAAGAAAATCCAGGAAAAAAAATCTGTCACTTCTGGAAAGGATGATAATAGATCTTAAAACGCAAATGCAGGAAAAACACCATAACTAAATTAAGGTTCCTTATACCTGCAGATTCAGTTTTCTTTTCTACCTGCAAAAAGGAATTTTTACTTTGCATATCTTCATTTTTTTTTTTAACAGACTATTTAGCACTTTGGCAGTAGGAAGGAGTTATAATTCCAGCTGTGCTGGGAGTCAGTGATAGAATTAAACACTTGTTGATTATGAACAGCATGTGTAAACTGAAGAAGTTTACATCCCTTTGAAACAATACGTAGGTGATGTGTACCATATAACACGTCTCGCCATATGAAATTTCTTCAGCACACTGAAAGATCCCTACACATTTACAACTTTTCTTACTTAAAAATTCCCCAGAGCTGGTCCATTTCTCTTTCTAGATTCGATTTACACATCAGTGATCAGTGAAGCTAATGTGAGTTTTTCTGTGTATTTCCATGGGCACAATTTCAATTAGAGCTTGAAGGGTTTATTAATAACTCTTGCATTCAAGCTCAGTGGTACCAATGTGAGTCTGCATTTCAGATCATCAAGCAGTGTAGTACAAGAATAGAAAACTTAATTTTGATTTCTCCTCAAGCCATGTGTAAATCACAAATAATCAGAGATGGTGACTGGTCAGCTTGATGCTGGGTGTGTAGGAGATAAAACTGATGAGTACACTGTGTGCTTGGAAGCACATTGAAGACGGTAAATGTAATAGAACTTGGACAGTGTCCAATAAAATGGAATACTTCATTATGTATATATAGTTAACTCACTATCAAGTGTATTTTCAGAGTGAACCCTTAATAAGATGTATTAAAAAGCAAGACAGTGTAGATAATGAAAGTATACGTTTATGGGTAGCATAGACTTTTTATGTCTGAAAATGTTAGTGATTCTTATGAGTTAAACTACATAGTAACTTCTGATATTAGAAAAACATATTTCCTACAAACAGGGCATTCTATATTTGATTATTTCGTGAGTTACTGGGGTTTTTTTTATATACTGTAGTAACCATTGTAAGAGGCAGGAACTGGTGTCCAGTGATTCTTGATCAGGCTAACTCTAGGCAATTTTTAAATGCAATCACATCTGGAGAAGCATAGACTAGAAGATAACTTTTAGTTTAGTTCAGCAAGGCAATGCTTCACTTACTTGAGATGGACCAGCCTGAAAGCTAAAAATGGGTAAAAACCAAAAAAACCCAAAACAAAACAGTAAAAGCAAGTACTACAAAAGCTTTAGCACTGCTATGACTAGCTTTCTTAAAACAAGATTACAGAGTGGGTTTCTCTCAGTTTGCTGTGGTCAGCATTGAAGCTGTCCTTTACCCTCACATTACTTCCACAGAATCATAGAATCAGAGAATGGTTTGGGCTGGAAGGGACCTTTAAAGATCATCTAGTCCACTCCCCTGCGATGGGCAGGGGCATCTTGCACTAGATCAGGTTGCTCAAAGCCCTGTCCAACCTGACTTTGAACACTTCCAATGATGGGGCATCCACAACTTCTCTGGGCAACCTGTACCGGTGCCTCACCACCCTCATCATAAAAAGTCCCCTCCTTATTTCCAATCAAAGCCTGTGCTCTTTCAGTTTAAAACCATTGCCCCTTGTCCTGTCACTACAGGCCTTTGTAAAAGTCTCTCTGTCTTTCTTGTAAGACCCCTTTCTATATTGAAAGTCCGCAATAAGGTCTCCTTGGAGCCTTCTCTGGTCGAGGCTGAACAACCCCAACTCTCTCAGCCTTTCTTCATAGGAGAGGTGTTCCAGCCCTCTGACCATTTTTGTGGCCTCCTCTGGACCCGCTCTACCAGGTCCGTGTCTGTCTTGTACTGGGGATCCCAGAACTGGATGCAGTACCCCAGCTGGGGTCTCACCAGAGCAAAGGGGGAGAATCACCTCTCTCGACCTGCTGGTCATGCTGCTTTTGATGCAGCCCAGGATACGATTGGCTTTCTGGGCTGCAAGTACGTGTTGCCAGGTCATGTCCCGTTTTTCATCCACCGGTATCCCTAAGTCCTTCACCACAGGGCTGCTTTCAATTCATCCCCAGTCTGCACTGATACTGGGTATTGCCCCGACCCAGCTACAGGACCTTGCACTTGGCCTTGTTGAACTTCACAAGGTTTGCACGGGCCCACTCCTCAAGCCTGTCAAGGTCCCTCTGGATGACATCCCTTCCCCTCTAGCAAATGAAGTGCACCACTCAGCTTGGTATCATCAGGAAATTTGCTGAGAGTACACTCAATCCCATTGTCTATGTCACTGATGAAGATATTAAACAGTATTGGTCCCAGTATGGACCCTTGAGGGATGCCCCTCATTGCTGGTTTCCGCTTAGACATTGAGCCATTGACTGTAATTCTTTGGATGCGGCCATCCAGCTGCTTCCTTATCCATCTAAAAGTCCATCCAGCAAGCCTGTATGTCTCCAGTTTAGCAGCAAGAAGGTTGTGGGGGACCATATCGAAGGTCTTAGAGAAATCCAGGTAGATGACATCCATAGCTCTTCGCTTGTCCACTGATGTAGTCACTCCATCGTAGAAGGCCACTAGATTAGTCAGACTTTGTGCCTTCACGGAAGTAAATGCCGATTTGATCAAATCTGATAAATCTTTGGTGATGCTAATGTAATGATTACCCAAAAGTAATCAGATCAGATGATTTATTAACATTGTCCTTTATGTATTCAGTGGTCAGTATATCAGTATATCATGTATGCGAATCTATTTGTGAAACAATATAGTGAATTTATCTTTGAAGTTGCAAAAGTGTGCTGCAGAGGGGAGGGAAACAGTTACCATGTCTCACCCTTGGGTGAGAATTGTGATGCTCAAATTTTCACAGGTCAGGACAGCTAAGCAAAATGGGACAAGAGACATTAAGTCATCTTTTAAAAATGATCTGAAAATAGTCTGAAAAAATAAGCTGTTACTCATTTTTGACCAGAGAGGTTGTGGACTCTGTGCTTGGAGTACTTAAAAGGTGAGTGAACAAGGCACCGAGCAACCTGCTCTATTCAGCCTGCTCTGAGCAGGGGTGTAGGCTAGAGAGCTCCAGAGGGTCCCTGCCAACCTCAGCTATTCTGTGATTCTCTGACAGAGTACTTCATGATTTCTTGTTATTTAATCAGTGTAACTGATTGAATATTACTGAGTCTGGTTATCGCCGTATTGGTTTTGAATTATAGCACTCACTCTGGAGAAATGGCTGTGGTTTTCATCTCCTGCACAAGTAGCTATTGAAGTAACAGGTTAATAGTTCGTATTAACCGTATGAATTTGTTTACAAATGAAACAAAGGTACAGTAATAGTTAAAGACATATGTTAACGGAAAGATAAAGGGCTTTTTTTCCTTTTTCTTCTTTTTTTTTTTTTTGGTCTTTTTAGGAGAAGAAAGATATGTTGCCTTTGCATCAGTGGATTACAAAGGATTTTCAAAGTATTGGGTTATCAGTTGGATGCTTTCTCCCAGGCATGTTCTTCCTTCTTTTGGTTTAGTAATAAAAAAAAATCCCAGTGTTTTGTAATATCATCATTCTAATTCTGCAGTATATTAAGAAATCATTTGAATATACTTCAAAGGTGCTGAGGAAGATCTGACATTAAGAACCTCCTTATATGGGTTATTATTCCACATATATGCTGATAAAGCTGATTGGGAGACAGCACTAAAAGTCCTGGATGAAGCCGTTCAAGTTTTGCCTCAGACAAGACACAGGCTGTAAGTTGGTTGCCTTACTTTTATTAAAATAAGCATCCTGATTCTTGAGAAGTATAAAACGCTGAGTATTTTTTTCATTTTGCATTGGGAAAATATTATGATTACTTCTTCTCAGCCTGTCAGCCCTTATAAGAGAAAACACTGTTGTGTCTTTTCAATGAAAAAGACATATGTCGGCAGTGCTTATCATTACTCTGTTCATAATATTTGTAAATTTCATTTTTTTAAAACTTGTATATAAGTAGTATCTTACTTTTCCAAGAACATAGGCGCACGAAGTGTGGCTATATAGCAGAAACTTTAGTTTTCCTAGCTTGTAAACCCATTTACATTAAATGGAAACTAAGTTATCTAGTGTACTGTTTACATAGTCTTATCCAAGTTAAAAAATTTATTCCCTTTTATGTCAGTTTATGAACTTTACATCTCTGTACTATGCCAATATGAACTAGTATATCTATCCTACTCACAAAGTTACTTTACAGGTACACATGCAAGTAATTTGCAATTTTTTTGCTCTTTTTCTAGCCTGATTTTTAAACATATGGCTACAGTGAAGGCAGGACTGGGATGCAATTTTATGATGGATATTCAGAAACTCAGAGATGAAAGTGAAGATTATTTGTCACATATGTGGCGTCATTTGGTAACAGTCTCCAGAAATATTGTTGGACAGTTAAGCTGTTTTCAAAATGCAATCGTTGCTTTACAGGTTTGTCAGTTTTTACTATATGTTCAAATGCTGACAGAGTGATGCTTCTCAAGTGATTCATGGGATTTCAAGTTCTGTGAAGTATGTAGCTGAACTGGTAGGAAGGCCATATACTTGACCATTACTTTTTGTAACTTTGAAATTGCTCTTCAGTTGGAAAACTGAGTGGTTGAATCATGGTATCCAGTAAAAGTTCAGCTGAGTCCTGTCAAAGGAAAACATCTAAGAGTAGCCAATTGCAAGAAGTTTTGATAAAGCAAAGAATTAACTAGTAGGGTTTTCTGTTACATTCCGTTTAGCATACCTCTGGTTATGTGATGCCAATGAAACTGCTCACTGTCAAATTATTATTTTTTGCTTCTGTTAAGACTATATTGAACTTTTGAATATAATTTTGATGGTTTACGTCACCAAATAAAAACAAACTCTTCCTTTATTACTTTTATAGAAACCAGAAAATGAATGGCAGAAAGTGGATTACCTGATGGAATTTTCTGAATGGTTATATTGTAACCAGTTTCCCCTCAGTGATGTTATTAAACCTCTGGACTGGGTGGTAGATCTCTTGCTACACATGAAATTTTCTATGCAATCCTCACAAGAAGAAGGTGTGTAAAAGGTGTATATTCTTCAGAGGAATTTCTCAGCAGCAAATGCAAGGGACATTTTTAATTTACAACTTAGTTACCACAAAGGCAGCACCAGCTTGGCTGTACTTTCTCCAGAATTGACTGCCATTTGTTCAATGCTAGCTTAACTCTATCTGTGAATTCTGTGTCGTGTCGTGGAGACCTACCCTCCATCTTTTGGTATAGTGAGATACAGTGTCTGTCTGAGGTAGGGGTTCCTGAGTTGTGAGGTGCTACCAGAAGGCAGCGCTAGGCTGTTTGTTTCAAATGCATCGTCATGGAGGGCCAGATGCAACGGTAGGAAATGGTTTCTGTGCCAAGATTTGGGTACCTATGTCCATTGCTCTTTCCTTGGCTTTATCTAGTATTTTAGGATTGATTTCTCAAAAATTACTTTCAAAGGGATGTATGCTTTCAAGTACTTATGTAACTGTGTAAAAATTCTTTGGTCCTTTTACTTTGTGTCTACTTGCAGTGGTATGGACTCAGTGACCTATTTTGATAGGATACCCCATTATTTAATTGGAAAAAAAAGTATCTAATTTCTGGAACAATACTGTACTGGGTGGCATTAATCAACATCTGCTCTGCTCTAATTCGTGTGTGGATAGATGAGACGGATCAGACGAGTACTTCTGGTGCTTGCACTGAAAAAGAGCTGTTCAGTGTCTCTAGTATCACACATTCGGTTCAAGTCACAGTAGCAATATTCTGTTCATGCTTTTCTGTTAGTGGTTTTGTTGGGTGTTTTTACAGCCCTGTGGCGATTTAAAGTTTGTACTTGTTCTTTAACGATCTTTGCATGGTTGCTCATGATTACTGGACTTCTTACATCACCTCTATTTCAAGAAATGTTTTACAGAACTTTTAACGGAGACTGAAATAATATAATAAGAAAAAATAGATCCAAATATAAAACAGCCCAGGTTGGAAGGGACCTCAAAAGATCATCTGGTCCAACTTTTTGTGTAAAAGGGAGCCTAGATGACATTATCTAGCACGCTGTCCAGCTGTGTCTTGAAAACTTCCAGTGATGGGGCCTCCACGATGTCCCTGGGGAGGTTGTTCCACTGATAGATTGTTCTCACTGTAAAAAATTTCTTTCTTATATCAAGATGAAACCTCTCTGGGTGCAACTTGTACCTGTTACCCCTTGTCCCCTCTGTGTGGCCTCTCGTGAAGAGAGAGCCTCTGTCCTCTTTGTAGCTACCCTTAAAGTACTGGAAAACTATGACGAGGTCCCCTTGAGCCTTCTCTTTTCCGGGGTGAAAAGGCCTTAACTCCTTGAGACTTTCTTCATAGGGCAGGTTCACCAGCCTTTTGATCATCTTTGTGGCCCTCCTTTGAACCCGCCCTGGTCTGTCCGTGTCTTTTTTGATTTGTGGGGACTGGAACTGGACACAGTACTGCAGCTGCAGCCTTACAAGCACTGAGTACACTGGGTGGGATTGTCACATCTCTGTCTCTGCTAGTAATGCCCTGTTGGTGCCGCCCATGATCTGACTTGCCTTCCTTGCTGCAGCAGCACACTGCGGACTCATGTTCAGCTTGTTGTCCACCAGGACCCGGGTCCCTTTCAGCAGGGCTGCTCCCCAGCTACACAGATCCTAGTCTGTACTGAGCTCTGGTTATGTTGTCCCAGGTGCAGGACCTTGCACTTATCTTTGTTAACTTCATACAGTTCTTTCTAACCCACTAGTTCTTTCTAACCCACTTTTCCAGCCTGTCCTGGTCCCTCTGAAAGCAAGCTCTCCCTTCTGACATATCCACCTCACCACCCAGTTTGGTGTCATCAGCAAACTTGGTGAGGGTGCTTTCAATCCCATCATCCAGATCATTTATGAAGATGTTGAACAGTGCGGGTACCGATCCCTGGGGGACTGCATTGTGACAGGCTGGCAGCCTGAGTGAAAACCACTGATTACCACCATCTGAGTGCAGCCTGTTAGCCAATTTCCGACCCATCTCGCGGACCGCCTATCCTGCCTGTATCTTGCCATCTCTGTCTTTCATTATGAAAGAATAAAATTAATCTGCTGAACTGTCCCTTTCCCTAACTTTATACTGTGTTGCTCATGCTCAGAATTCACTCGATTTGCCTGTTACTTTAATAACTTAATCTGTGACAGTCATTGGATTATGTGATAGGTGTTATGTTACTGCACTCTGCTTTATTTTGTAGAGCATCAATTTGATGTTGAAAGAGAACTGTGTCTTTATAGTATTTCACTTGAAGCTGAAAATCTGCTGAATTACTTGGTTTTGAGCTGAATTTCAAGCAGAGTTGGAATTTCTATAAAACATCAGTGTTTACTGAAAAATTACTAGAATTACACAGCACAAAAGACAGGATTGAGTAGCAAAGTATCTTCTGTAGTTGCTGTCAAGAGTCATTAAGGTATCTCATTACAAAGGGATGAACTTGAGCTGTGTTCTAGACCTAGCTGACACTGACCCATCTGTAACTGGATTATTGCCCGTTTGTTTATTTCTGTTTTGGAAATGAGTGCTGGCCAAATAAACTTCTTGCTGGCTAGGCTGCTGGTAGTTAGTACGTGATCCTTGGTCACTGTAGAAACCTCTATGTCAGAATCAAGAGGATTTTTGATTTGACTGCAACATGCCTTAAGTGGCTGAAATAAATAAGTTAGACTGTCTTTCCCACAGATTTATTTTCAAGAAGACATAGTTAAAGTGTGCTTGCTGTGGATTTCATTTCTGTGTCAGACTTACATCATTTAATATACGTAACTGTTACATTATTCGTTGAAAACATGGTACAAGTAGCATTGCATCACCGTAAGAAGATCTTCAGTAGATGGATTTCCATTTTTCTGGTTTTTTTTTCTATAAATATTTTCATTTGCAATTCAGAAATTTTAACTTTTGAATACATTTTTTAAATACCGTCACTGTGAGCGTGTTATTTGTTTTTTTAACAGAAAAAAATACTATACCAAAATTTTCACCTGCAGAAAATTTGAAGATAGACATTGGAACAAATGATGCCATGCCCCAAATTAATTTGGAAGATTTGAGTAATATTAAACAATTGGAAGCTTTGTTTAGAGTGCAAACATTAATGGCTTTAATTTCTGGTCATAGTTCTCCTTTTCATCAGCAGCACTGTTTGATGGCATATGCTTGTATCATCCGTATCTGGCAGGTGAGATTTTATGAGATTTTATGATATGGTGTGGTATGATATGATATGATATTATAATGTGGCCAGTATATTTCAAGTTATCTTGTGTAATTATGGTGCCAGCTATTCATTTGATGTTTTAAGTATGACTTTAGAATTTCCAGTTTTATCATATAGTTAGTATATTTTCTCAGGCTTAAGGATTAAACAAGAAAATTGTTTCTGTCAGGAAGATAGAGAAGAGACATACTAAGGATAAAAGCAGTAGCCCATTGTTTCTCTGGAGTACGTTCATATGTTTCATGCAAAAGGTTCTAAAATTTTGTATTTTTAATTTGTTGAAGAATCTTAGTAGTGGCAGAATACATGCTGAAGACATTGCTGACAGTTCTGAGGAATGGTAATTACAGATGGACCTCCACTTAGGTTGAATCAAAGGGACTGTCGTTTGACTGAAAGGAATTGTGTGACATAGTTAAATTAAATTCAGATGTTGATTTGTTCGTTAAGTTCTGAGAAAAGTATAGACGAGCAGTGTTCACCGATTATTATTCTTGAATCACTTTTTCATTGTTAGAGCATTCCAAATCAAACAAATCTATTTTATTTCTCATTGATATGAATGCCTAATTTAAATGGCTATTGAGAATCATAGCAAAAATCATAGGAAAACAATTATACATTAAATATGAGTAAATCTTTGAAGGGACTAAATCTATACTTGATAATAGTAATGCCACAAATCGTTATAGAAACAATCTTAGTGCTATAGATAGGACATATCAACTAGATTGGTAAGCTATAGGTTGTGCATAATTTTATTCCAATTAGCTGTAAAAGCCTGCAATTTGTTACTCCTGTGGTAATTATGATCAAGTTTTCATTGTGAAATCAGTTTAGATGCTAACATTTGATGGAAGACAGGAATTTGAAAAATAAAAATTGAATATTGATATTTTCAGATTTTGCATAAGCATAATTTTTAATGTCCTGAACTTGACTGTCTGAGTGTCTTACTAGAGAAAAATTATGTGAAAGGAGTATTGCTGTATGAATAAACTATTAAAAATAAAAAAATTAAGCGAGTTAATGCAGCTGTCAATGCCAGTTGCAGGACAATGAAGGTAATTCTAAGAACTCATATTTACAGCTGAAAAGTACTGTGAGAAAAAGAATAACCATGTGGCATTAGAAGGAATGGAAGTACTATAGGACAGCTTAACCTTGTTTTGGAGTACGAAGTAAAGCAGACTTGACTGCACATGTCCTTTTCTAAAGCAGGCTCTCAAGTGTTAGGACTCCATCAATAACTCCATAGAAGATACTAAAATGTTCTCTGAAAACCTGAATAATCCAAGCCAAATCAGCTGCCTCTGACTTTTTTAAAGACATGTGTTACTTTTAATTTGAAATTTTCACAAGTTGTGCAGCGTCCAGCATTATTTTTTGTTCATTTTTTGTGTTCTGCTCTTGATCCCTCCAGCAAAATATATTCATCTTCTCAAATTAATGTGTGTGTTTTACTCTAGGTTAAGATCAGAAGCTGTGCTATTGCACGTGCACTGAAATTTTCAGTGGATGCTTTCATATCCTTAAATGATAGTAGAAATTTCTTTTATATAAACATTCATTAGTAGCATTATAGAAGACTAATCCTGAAGGAGATGGAGTGGCTCTTTGCCGTCTTCCAGATTACTTTGATATGAAATTCATCCCTTGTAGAAGATTAAGCAGTCCAGACTAGTGGTTTAAAAAAAGGAATTGCATTTGCAACCGTGTAGGGTAAGAAAGTAGCAGTAGTATTTATCACAGGGATGATGTAATCTTTTGACAGTTCAGCTGCTTAAGTGCATTGTCATGATCATCCTAAATGCTTGTAAAAATAATGCGAGCATCTGGGAGTCTTTAAAATTTTAGTTTTCTGAAGAAAGCTCTTAGGCAAACATAACTATGTATGTGGCAATTGTTAGTGGCTGTTGGTAGTGACTTACAGTGAGTTATCATTATTACTAGAAACTGAGATTATTATTGAAAATTGAAAATAACTAACTGGAATTATTTTATTATCTAGGTATCATTGTCAGCATCAGGATCTATTACAAAAGTATCATCAGAGTCTTCACAGTTTACAGCTCCTCAGAAGGTACAATCAATAATTGCTCCTAAAAAAGAGAAGGACAAAAAGAAAGAGAAACAAGTAAGAACCCCTTTCCTGTGGAATTAAACAATCATCTCTTTCTAAAAGATGTTTTCCTGGGCTCATTTGTTAAAAAGTTCAGGTGCCTTCCTGTAAAGACTCTTATAACCTGTAAAGAATTTCTCTGTGAGTCTGTGTATCATACCTTGGCTCTTGATCGCATGGACTTGACAGGTTGTAAATTTACAGATACTTTTTCTTTTCTTTTGTTCGTTGCATTGGTCAAAATACTGCTGTTTTGTAAAACCCACAGTCTAGCAGTCAAAAAAAAAAAAGGCCAGACAAAACTTCAAAGGATATTAAACAGATACTAATGTTAGCTGAATATTTAATATGAACAAGAATGTTAATTTGGCCTCATGAATGTCCTTATTTTTTATTACAGGTTGAAGTTTCTATTGTGAGAGAGAACCCTAAAGGGAAAGGATCAGTTGATACCTTACCAGCAAATGTGGAAGAATGGGCTCATTATGACTGTCCCCATGAAATCAGAGATACTTTTAAACAGAAAACAAATAGTTATGGTATTAACTGGGATAACTTCCCAAAACCTGTAAGTATACAACTCAAAATTCTAGAGCATTTATTATTTAGGAAAAAAATGAGTAGCAGAGAACTACGTTGTGTTTTAGTTTTTCTGTCTGTGCGATAAAGAGTACGTTCAGACAGCTGTCAGAAATACTTCCTTGTCATAGTATTCATTAATACTTCAAAAAGTGTTAGTCTTTCCTCTGCATTCTGAAATGAACTTAACTTACAGAATAAATTAACTGTGTACCTAGCTGCTTTTTCAGCTTGAAAGTTTGTTTCATTTTTTTTTAGTCAAGTTTGGAACTGAAGAGGTAATAATTAATTTAAAATTTATTCTCTACAAAATTACGTTTATTATTATGATTGAATTTAAAAAAATTTATTTTCAGACTTGCACTTTGTATTTTATGGACCTTTTATCTAAAGAACTACAGAAAATTTTTTGCCCGCACTTGATTCTTCCCATCTTTCAGCTAGCTGAAGTTATTGCTAATGAAGTTGTGGAATGTAGAAGTCTGTCTGATCTCTATCATCTTCGGTTTGTATCTTTTATTTCTTTTAAATAAAAGAGTAACTGAATGGAGAGGACCATCCATTAATATTTCACTAAATAGTAACAAAAAAGGCTTTTTGTGACTTATTTTTTTGTATTTGTGATGTTTTTTTGTTCCTTTTTCATACATTTTAATAGAGTTTTGATGAATTGGCTTGCTTGTGGAATTAAAGCCACTAAGTTTATCTGTTACTAAACATGATCTCCACCAGGAAAGGTGTACAAGATTATGAACTCGAGCCACTTCATGTGAATAATTTTTGTAATGCCTTACTGTCACCTAACTGAAAAAAGCCAAGTCCAAAAAATTTCAATAAAAGTGTTATCTTTTAAGTATTCAAAAGGCAGACTCACATCTTGCATCAAAAATACAGTCTTTAGCGTGAGAACCCAACAAATACCCCCGATAAGTGCATTCTCTTTTATAGAGAGATTTTCCTTTGTGACCAAAATTCTGTTATTTTTATGGATGATTAGCCCTAAAAGTTTTGATTCAAAAATATTTAATATGCATGCAATGGCAAGTTATTGCTGTTTTAGTTAAAATGTTTCATCATGCTTTTTCGAAATGTGTTGCATAATGTTTGCTTAATAATTAGCAGTTATAAGCAATAATTGTTTGCTTAATTCCCGATAGTTTGTGAAATGCCACATAATGTATTTTTAAAATGCCTGAAACTGATCCCACGCGTTAGAATAGATAAATATTCATGTATACAAATGTATGTGTGTTTATCTGGATTGCCAATTCATTACTGAGTTACTGTCTTACAAGACTAAAAGTGATTTACTAACAGGAAATTGATTTGCAGCCAAGCTTTGCCAGACAAATTTTTTTGCTGACTCTTCAAGATGTGTTTTTATTTCGTGGTATTTTATTTATATCTATGACCTGATTTTTACATATGGTCAGATAGGTGTGCATGAATATATTACTCTCTACTCAGTACAGAAAAGTAGGTTAGCACATCCACATGTATGGGGTTTTTTGAATGCTGTAGTGAGACCATATTATAAATATTTCCATACTTTTACCACATCATTTTTGCCACTAAATTGGAGAGATAGGGGTTTGATGGATGCCCCATCATTGGAAGTGTTCAAGGTCAGTTGGATGGGGCTTTGAGCAACCTGATCTAATGAAAGATGCCCCTGCCTATGGCCCAGGGGGTGGACTAGATGATCTCAAAAACGTGCCTTCCAACCCAACTCATTCTATTTTTGTATGACTTCTATCAATGGGTAATTTCAGCTACCTCATTTCCTCCTTTTTTATTTAAAATTTTTGTTATCGCCAATATTAATGAAGACATAAGAAGGTAGGATTGACAAATGTGGAATGTATGCTCTTTATATATAATGTGTTTATATGAAGCAACGTATGAAAGATTCTGATTGTTTCTTAAACATGTCTTCTTTTTATTCTTAGAATTGCCTTGATATGTTCAGACCTAAAACTGAGTCAGGCATCTTTGTATCATGAGAAAGCTGCTGGAGAAGCCTACATTAGTGAATTAGAACAAGCAATGTATGTATTTTCACTACAGAGGGTGTATTTAGTTGGGTTTTTTCCCCTACAGTTTATAAGTGTTGTTGGGGGAAAAAAATATTAAAAACTATGATCTCTTAACACAAATTTGGTATATTAGCTGTGCCCTAAAATTCTGTGCATGATTGTTTTGTCTGTATCCACAGAGTGTATGGTGAAGATGCCTAGCACACGAATACTTCATTATAAAATACTTTTAAAACATACTTGAATTTACTTTTTTTTCCTTGTGAATTAGGTGTAGGCAAGAGATTGCACTGAAAAAAGAACAAGTACATACTAAGACAGAAGAAAGAAGAACATTTTTTGAAAATGCTCAGCTGAATGGTAGTAGGGATGAGAATATCCTTATTTCAAGTGAAAAGGTTTTTATTTCTACTCCAGTTCCTTTAATAAATTACTCCTCACTTTTTATTTTAATATACTTGCTAGTTTGTTTTTTAAATAATTTTATACTTGAGAAATACATGAACACAAAAAATCCTTAAAAATGCTTATTACTTAAATTCTGCTGGTAGGCATCAGCTGAATGTGAGCTGAGTTTGCCTGGCATATTGTTTGTATTGTGGAAGAACAAAAGTAGAATCTGTATTCATACGAACTAAAACTACTTTTCTATAAATGGAATTTGGGACTAATGCAAATCAATGGAAAAAACTGAGAAGCAGAGAAGACGTTGTATTCACTCTTGGTCTGAGTTTTCTCTTCTTCCTCTCTCCATTACATCACTGCATACTGTTTTGCTGCCTCGTACATTGTTTTAAAGGCATGCAGATACTTCAGCTCTGTCTTTTCTGTCTCTTCTCTAGGAAGATAATTGCCTTGCTGATATTCTTAAAGCTTACCTCCACTTTCCTCTTTATTATGGCAATTCTGTCCTTGTTTTCATCATGCCATTCTGCTGTCTTTGTATATTTTTCCATTCTTGTGCATGTAAAATATCTTTTTTCTAATTACTAATCCCTCTCGAGTCACCTCTTTTAGCTCTTGTAAATAGTTTTTCTCTTTGATTGTTTTAGTTATTACGAAGAATCAACTTATTTGTGACAGTAGCAGGACTGAAGTATTTAATCTGTTCTAAAATTAGTTTTAATAGTGCATACTTATTAGTTGAATGCCTTTTGAGGATTACAAACCCCAAATCTCAGTAAACCTGTTTTTCCTGTAATATAACATTGAATTTCAGAGTTAGAAAATAGAACTAGACTGTGGGATATATCAAGACTTGACTATGATAGTTAATAACAATTTGTATTCCACCTAGTTTTGAAATTTATTAAGGTGTAATATTTTTGTTATTTTTCAGTTTTTTGAGTTAAATACGGTAACAGGAAAAGGACTGAGTGCACTTTCTTTCCCTTACTTGTGGATAGAAAAAGCTGAAATACTAATTCAGCTAGGCTTGTATCAACCAGCAAGACTTCTGCTTTCAGAGGCCCATGCTGCAACTCAGGTACATCAGATATAAAGTAGAAAAAGAAAAATTAATAAAACGTGTAGGAATAATGTTCATTTTGATGCAGTCATTCCTCATAATAATAATCAAATTGCAAAACCAAACCTTCCCCCCGCCGCTGCCCCAAACCTATGTTACATGAGTTTCAACATGTATAAGGCATACATTTAAATATATGGCACTTAAGTCCAACTTTATGGGAATTATCTGAAGATTATTTCAACTTGTGAAGTAGTGTCAGCATCTCTGTATGCTTTGCAGTGACCTTGGAAGGTGTATGTATATGCAAACCTTGTTTGTTGAAATAGTTTGGGGACATTCGGGATTTGCTCATAAGAGAGAGAGAGAGAGCGCATTTAGCTCCGTCCTCTCAACGTTTTGATCATTTGAAAGTTATATCATTTTGAAACTTGTTATGGTTTCACTGCTAACTGTGTTTTGATAAACAGCCACTGTCACTGAAATTATGACTTAGAATTCTGGCAGATCTGAAATAAGTGTCCGTATGTTCCACCAAACAAATCCACATCGTCTCATTATTATGAAGGGTTTACGTTAAAGATATTCTTCCTGTATCTACCATTCTCCATTATAGCTCCCTTCTTGGTTATATGGGTTACTGAAATGTAATTATTGCAATAAATCCTTTACTTTTAAAAAATACTTAATTGTTATCCTGTTATTGTACATAATAATTTTTCTCATGCAAGTAAAAACTGCCTACGTATATTTAGCATGAATCATGAATAGTTTGAATAATAATATATGAATAATATATTCATTAATAATATATGTCTCTTGTTAAAGCATGAATTTAGTATTGTACATTGAGAAAAGTTCAAAAGACATTAGGGAGGACAATAATGGTATAATTTCTTACTAGTATCCTGTATGCCTTTATGCTGGTATACTATCTGTACTGTACGCTATATTTGTCTCTTGTATACTACTAGTATATAGTTTATAACTAGTATAAAGTAGCATTGTAAATTTACTGGAGTTCTAGTGTACCTAAATCTCAGTTCACTAAAAAATTTTTCATCACCGCATTCATCAGACACTGACAAATGACAGCAGATATATGCATACTAAATAATGGCAGAAAAATAGCTTATTTGACTTGTGGAGTGGAAGATATGGGAACATGGGGAAATATAAAGTATATTTTAAGATTTGAAATTCTTGATATGAAATAGACACTAAGTTTTTGAAAAAAGTAATATGAGTAACTAAGAAATTCTACAGATAATTGAGGAAATACCATTTGCTTCTTATTTCTGTGCCTATTCGTAAGTTTAATCAAAAATATGAATAAAAGTAAATATGAATAGGAGTAGTGGATCTTTTGTATATACGTCACATACTCTCTTCCTAGGAATTGAGGGCCCCGTATGATGTGTCAAGGTGCTTGTACTTACTTGCTGTATTGGCTAACCTGGAAAGAAACCACGGGCAAGCTAAAGCACTCCTTGAGAAAGCACAGCTTCTAGGAGGAAGTGAGCAGTTTTGGTACGACAGTACTCTTAGTCTAATAGAAGCAATTCTAGAGGAAGAGGGGGAAGGAAAACAGAGCGTGGTAAGGAGGTGTTTTGGTTTTGGTGGTTGGTTTTTTTGCAGCAGTGGTGCCTCTTTCAGTGAAATGTTATAGCCTTGGCATTTCAGTGAAGCAAAAATAGGTGTTAAATGCCGTTAATGTTGTTTTTTCTGTTGTGCAGTCAACGAACATTAATTACAGACTCCAAACAGATGCAGGCCAGTAGAAACGAGATTTTACCCACAGACGTTCAGGATATTTTTATAAGCTGTATACACTTCTATTGAAATAAGAGCAATTGTAATCTACTATATGCAAGTAAAATCCCAGAGATCTGATTCTCTTGGTTAGAATGCTTTTGTACTCTGACAATTCTGTTAACATTGACGTGTTTATTTTCCATATTTAATAAACTTCCAATATTATTTCCTAGTATGCACTTCCTTTTGAAATATTTAATAGTTTTACAAATATTATTTCTAGATTCTGAAAGATACTACCGTAAGTATAATATATATATTTATTAAAAACCTTTTCCTATTTGACCCTTAACATTAAAATATCCATTTACTGTTCAACCCTTAACTCAAATCCTTAATGAGTTTCAGCATAAATATAATCTTGTTGTGTCTGTGATCATCTGTCCTTTATTGATAATCTGTGTGAGTCTGTTTTGTATAGAGGGATTATTTTGATTTGGGATGAACTCACATTTACAACATTGAAGTACAATATACTTGGTTACCAGTGAGAGTATTTACTAAGGTTTTACCCGCATAGCTATTAATGAAATGTGTGAGGTGGGTTTTTTTCTTTTAACTTCATGTCTGACGAACATGAATGCAGCAGCAAAATTTTTTAATAAGGACAAATCTGTAGATGCGGTTTTGAGTATCATCCAAGGGCTTTTTCATTCAAAACTATTAGTTGGGGACTTCTTTTACATCCCCAGGTGGCAAAACTATAATAGCGTAAGGTTTACTCGTGGATAAATGTGCTAGTCAGTGTAAGTAAGGATGCAGGAATCTGTCCCTAAGAGGATGCCTGTGAAATATAGAAACAAATGACTATTTCGGTTAGAGGTCATCTGGTCTAACCCCAGGCAAAGCAGGGGCAATCTTGAAGTGAGATCTGACCCTGTTGTTAAATCAAGTTGCTCTGGGCCATATATGGCCACTCTTCAAATATCTCCAAGAATAGAGATTCCACAACCTTTCTGGCCCCTTGTAACACCCCACCCAAAAGAAAAGTCACTATGAAGGTGGCCAAACACTGGAACATCTGTTTAGAATTCCCCTTTTTCCAGGCTGGGTCTGTTGCCCCTCGTTCTTTTGCTATTTACCTCTAAGATGAGTCTGGGTCCATCTTCTCTCCTTGTGTGTATGTGCTCCATTCACTTAATCATATCAAAATACCTAAATTTGTTCCTAACTCATACTTTTTTGACTTATAAACAGTTGTCAAGAATCAGTCTTCTTGGGGAATATTAGGGAACGATACTTAACATGTTCTGCACAAAATTTAAGCTTTCTAAATTAATGTTTAATATTATACACACACATTTAAAATAGGATTACAAGGTTTCTGATGTTACCTGCAGGCTTGTGAGATACTGGAACACACTGTAAATGTGCTCAGATCTACTTTATTGAAGAGACCTAACCGACAGTCGGAGTTGGGTTTTATAATTGCATCCCTTGAAGCCAGGTAACTGTGTTTTCATTAAAATGTGCCCAGCCTCTACTATGCAGCTACATTGCAAATCATTCATCTTTATTTTAGTATAGTGCATTCTGTGGATTCTCAAATATTTTTCTTCCAAGTGCTTTATGGTATGTTTTTTTTTTTTTTTTAAATTTCAATTTCCTTTCCAGTTCCTTCATTCTTGTGTGTAGCCTTGCTGCCTGTTAAGTTAGTAAGCTAGTTCAGATACCACAACCTACTGTGCATGGTTTGTGGTGTTGGTTAGCCAAAGGAACAAGATACATTTGCCTATGCAGAGGTGTCTGTTTGAGCACAGATATTCCCACAACACTGTTGTAGGCTGCAGTATCAACCTACTTCTCTCCTCACCGTGATCCAAGGAAGTCTTTTTATGGTGAAACTAAACAATGATTTTGGTTACGTTGAAATCCAAGCCCAGAGAGCTTAAAATGTGTTGGTAAAAGGAGAGAAGTATGTAACATTTACACTTGTTCTCTTTCCAGAAATGTGAAACTTTTGAATTAGAAAGGGAGGACTAATAGTCTTCTCAGTTCAGCTATATTTAGAAGACTGATGAGGCCTAGGCAGTTTGAATAATTAGATACATGGAACAAATGACATACCAATTCTAAGCTGAAAATACAATATTTTGATTTTTTTCAGGACCTGCTATAATTTGTAGACGACAGATTTAAAGAATGAAGATTTTTTTTCTAGATTTCTTACAATTTAAAGGAGAGCAGAGAGGAATATGTCTGTTTTCAAATGCAGCCTGCGCTTTCTGACTGCTATCTTGTACTTAATTTTTATTTCTAGGAAAACACTTATTCAGATAGATTGTATGACAATTAATGCTGAGTCTTGTCAGTTGCCACATATGCTACAGGAATCTTACAATAAATTAGTTCAAATTGAGAAGGACTTCTTTCATTATGGGCATAAAAACGGCAGTGCTGAGATACTGCTAGAATGTGCAAATATTCACAGGTAAGGTTATACCTCTGATGAAAAATTTTATTTAACTAGTCCACGAAGTGTATTGTTTACATTTTTACAGTCTAATTAAAGATGGAAAAGAGCAGGTAATATTGTCAGGTTTTATATCTTGGTGTTACACATCTATTTGCCTTCTTGGTGTGTTCTGTATTCAGAAAAATACTGTAGAACCAAAAATGCTTTTCACTGAGGGCAGAGATAATCTTACATGGTACTAGTGATTTTTGTATTGTGTTTGAGGTCAAAACAAAGTATCAAGGTCTCCAAGTCAGCTTTTTGTCTTCCCATTTATAAAGGCATTTTGGCAGCCACACCAATCATTCTCAAGTATTTACAGGCTTTTACAATTCTTACTGTTGAAATGGTTCTCTAGAAATGGCTGTAATAGCAAAAGTGCAAAACACGGTATGCCTTGACTCCCAGCTGTTTCCAAGATGTCCCCTTAAAACAACGGAGATATGTTTTGTACCTGGCTATTCTGCCATTTTGCTCCTGGCCAATACATACTCTAGAATATTATCTGCATTTCTTATCTTTGTGTCTTGGCATCTTCTTGCATTGCAGCAGTACAGTTCCAAGAATAAGACCTTGAAAAAATAATGTGTGAACATTCACTTTTCCTATTTGAACATTTAGAAAACACATGTACAAAATTAATCTATTTTATCTATTAATTATTCTATTTAATCTATTAATCCAATTATTTTATTATATATGTTCAATAGTGTTGATACCATAAAAATAAACACTTTCTTACCCTCGTTCATTTGGGTTTATGTTTTGGTTTGTTTTTTTTTTTTTTTTCTTTTCAGGATGATTGCCAAGCAGGAAAGAAATGAAGAAGAAAAACATAGTCACTATCTAGATGCTTATGAATTAGCTCAGAGGGCAGTATCCAAAACAGAGGAAGTGTTTCATAATGTCTGTAGCTTATTTGCAGTTAATGAGGTATGGAGATGTATATATATTTTTCTATTGATGGAAAAGAAATCTAATTTAGTTGTACTGTTCACTCATTCCTGGATAGTTCCTGGAAGCCCCAAATGAGATTATCTTCCTGTAGTGATAGGCATTGTTTGAATATAGAAGGAAACATTGCATGCCAAAAGAATTTACAGTTTTAAAAGGGAAGAAGAAAAGCAGAAATTAGAGGATTTGTTTGGTCTTTGTCAATTTTATTTAATTCTAAAATTTATCTAATAGCTACAAAAGAAAAAGTCTAAACTTGAAGATATTTTTGATTCTCTAAATACCTCACAAGTTTAAAATTCTCCACAATAAAGCGTTTATTTCTCAGGAGAAAAAGAAGGTTACACAGAACATTATGTAAATTAAGAAAGCCTGTTTTCAAAAGAGTATATTTTGGGTAATGAAAGCCTGCAGCCTACTTTGCTTGTGTGTACCGTTATTATACTCTAGGATCCAGCTTTTTTTTCTGCTTTGCCTTTTCTAAAGAGCAAGTATTTTGGGCAGGTAGCAAAACCATTAATATTAAGATTCTGGTTTTATGTACTCATTTGTTACTCCTTTGGAATTAGGTATTTGCACCACATGCATAAAATATGAAAAGCAAAAATGCAGATGCTCTTTTTCTATGCGGCTACTTTGATTGCTTTGTAATATATTTGACATTGCAGGTTATCTTTTAAATTACTTAAATGTTTTCATAGCAGTATCTCTGATCTATTGAGGTGATATTGTTAAAATGTTTGCTTTGTTAGTTAAAAGAAATACAACATTCTAACTTATCGTGTAAATTTGCAAAAATATTTGAAATTAGAATTCTACTTTCCTTTCTTCTGTGTTTCAGACTACAAATATTAGTATCCCATTAATGAGGCAGCTAGCTAAAAGGAAAATAAATCTTGTGGAAATTCTTTTGGATATTTTTCATCTTGTTATTACTGAGAAAAAGCTTAAAAAACTGGAAGTAGCATCGTCTGATAAAATTGTGGAGGCATTCATCAGGGGAACTACTGAAGATGATGCAACAGAACAGGTAATACAAAATATTTAGTCCTATGATTTGTATATAAAAGATGTAACAAAGTTTCCCAGGGATGTTTTCCATAGCAGAACTTCTTCCATTACTGAGGAAACGTGTCCCCAGATCATTCAGGTAGTTTTGCAGCAAAGAAAGTTCAAGTGTGTGGTTTTTGTCTTGGGGATGGTTTATTGGGGTTCTTTTTTGGTTTTGTGTTCTTGGAAAGATTTTGTTTCTCAAATGCAGAGACTTAAAAACCACTAAGAGTAGCAGGGAAATTACTTGAGGCTTTCTAATTGACAGTTCTTTTTGCATTATTGTCTCTTCTTTTTAAAACAGTTGGTTTTAAGCAGATCTGCCTAACTGAGCTGATGGATAAGAACATAAGACATGCCCCACTGGAAGAGAACAGTGATTCTTGCCCATGATTCTGTCTCTGACAGTGACAATAGGAAATGCTGTTACAGGAGAGCACAGTATTCCCACCGTTCTCTGCAGCACCCTCCCCTTATCCCATGTTTCTCTCAGCATTGGTTGCTTATGTTTGCTTATGGATGTTACAGTGTACTTTTTTTTTTTATCAATTGTTAATGAATTATTATATCTATTAAAGACAGCTCATTTGTAGTTGAAAGTGGAATCACATTTAACAAGTGTGTTTGTATGTAAATATATATGCGTCATTTTTTAAAGAAGTATGTTTCTATATGTATGGGTATATATGAGCAAATAAGCATAAATATGTATTTTACCAGGATTGGAAGCGTATGGAGTGCACTGTGGGTCATATTACACTGGCTCAGTTAGCAAACGTGCAGCATCTTTCTAGAGGTTGTCCTGACATCAAATCCAAATGCCTATATCTCACTGGGAAAACTCTTCATTTACTTGCCATTAACGTAGATCCTGTACATTCAGAGATTTACTGGAAGCCAAATGTTACGGTATGCATTCTTTTCTGCATTTAAATCCATTCCTATGTGTAAAGTTTGTCTACCACAATATTTTTTCTGTACACCCTTGTATAACACTACTCTTTATTTAGAGCTAGGTTTTACATATTGCATGCAAGCCATAATAAAAATGTATACTGAACCAAGTAATTTCAGAAAAATGCTTCTGCTTACTTGCCATCCTCATGTAGATAATTTTTTGATTCGTTCCTGTGATATGCGAATTACAATGTTTTCAAAAGAGAGAGAAAAAAAATCATTGAATGCCTTAGAGGACTAGGTAGGTTGGCCTCTGAATCTATGCAGACAAGAAGTAATGACTTGTAGATTAAAAGCTCAGATTTGTAAGTTCTTTTGTGTTGTAGTAAGAACACCATGTAAGAAAAGAAAAGTTGATTGAGTCATTATAAATTCAGTGATAAATCAAACTGTTCAGAAGAAATTAACTGAGGACAAATATTAGAAAATCAAAATCTTAAAGGTTGTATGGGGGGGGCTTTTTAGTTTCTATTACTCATATTGTCATCATAACATCTTAAGAAATTTTGATGCCTGATAATATTGCTAAATCTCTCACCATCAAGGGATTAATACAGTGAGATGATTTCTTTTAAGATGAGTTCCATTTTCACCTAGACCTTCACAAAAGAAATGAAGCTAGCCATACTTAATGGAATGATTCATTATTGTTTTTTTTTTTATACTGTGATGGCTGTGATGAGTAGGAAGAAGCTAAATCAAACATTGCAAAAACTTTCCTGACCTCAGCAGAATGCAGTGAACAGGAAGTGACAGACAGCAGTTTACCGACCAATAAATGTCAATATGATAAGTATAGGAGGAAAATACAGGAATTAAAGGTATATTAGCATATTGGCTTGCACTAGAATTTGAATGCTTTCTTTTTATGGAATAATAGTCACCTTATCAGTTCTGTTTGAACTGATAATGGAAATGATTGTAACATAAATTTGATCTTACAAAAGAAAAAAATCTCCAAAACAACCCACCAAAACCCAGCTTTCCATCACTACTCTGCCATGTATCTCTGTCCTGCCCTGCTATACGTGCTGTGGGAGCTCCTGATTTGAGCTTTCCCACTTGGTCCCAAAAAGAAATAATTTCTCCTTCAGTGGTTTCCCACTGACTGAGCTTGTAGCAGCCAGGACAAGAAGAACAGGCAGCTTTCTCTCTGCTTCACAGACGTGCCTTTCTAAGGGAGCATAACATTTTGCAGACTGGGAACAAAGAAGAAAGAACTTCTATCACAAAATAGTTGTAAAATTCTTACAAAATTTGTTTTATTGTATGGTGAGCTGATCTCTGTTACCCACTGCAGTTCAAAGCACACTAGGAATTGGGAGTGTGCAGTTTGTGTTGCTACTATAATCAATAAACACCTGAGATAAGACATTTGTGGGTTTATTTGTATTTAATATAGTTAACTGTCAATGGAAACAACTGTACTGAGAATTGATAGAAAATTCCTTTGTTCTGAACGGCTCATATTGCCTGGAATTTAAATACTGTTCTGCTAAATATACATTTTATATTAAAGAAAGTATCTTATGAAACACTTTTTAATGTCGTATAACAGATATTGGTGTCTGCTAAATAATTAATCATATTTTGATCATACATTAAGTAAATGCCTTAAAAAGGAGAAAAAGTAATACTTATCTTTTCTAACACACTAGTAATCTGTATACATCTAACAAATACTTAATGCATATTTTAATATAAACCTTTTTATTTTTATCATCTAGAAGGAACATGGGTTGGCTCAGAAATATCTTTCTCAATCCAGTGAAGCTTTGCTACAGTGTATGGGTATTGCATTCAGTCACAACATTACTGATGTACTGGCTCCTGCTAGTTTTGAAATGGTTGAATGCTTTCGACAATTTGATCCAGTTTCAACTAGCCAGTTTTTGGCGCTTCATCAGGTAATGCAGCTTAATGTATGGTGCTTCTTTCCAGTATAAAAAGGGTGTTTTAAGTTACATAAGCAAAAATGTTCATTCATATAGCCTGAATATTGGTCAGACAGAACACAATGTATGGATACATGTAAGAACTAGCGAATAATACAGGTAATCAAATATATGAGTAAAATGTTTGATCAGTAGCTTTTTAACAATTCTAGTATCTGTTGTGTTTGACTTGATGTTTTCATTGATGATTGCATACTTGAAAAGATTTTAATATGAATAAATTACTATAATGTGATTAGCTAAGACAAGACATTACCACAAAATACAGTTTCATCCTTCCCTAACAAATAATTTCAAAAATGTTTCTCTGGATTTGTTCATTCATTATTTTGAAGTAAATAGGAAAGGTTTACATTCAGTTTGTCAAAGCAACACCTACACAGTGTGGTCCCATAGATGGCTTGAAGGTATATGAATCATTCATGTGAGTATGTGCCTTCATCACAGAGAGGATGAGGAATGGCTGTAAGGCTTATATTCCCTACATCAGGAACAAGGAATACATACTTCCTACACCATCATCTCCATTGTAGAAATACAGAAATGCACCTTATACTAATTTCCTTCCTGCCACATCAAGACAATTGCAGGAAATTATGACAGACAGTAAGCACTTACCTCGGTGTCAACACTTAGATTTGCAAATACCTCCACCCATGGGTAGAATGGACTAGGTAGGTCTTTTGATAAATCAGAAAACAGCTAATACGGGGTTTTGTGGTTCAGTCTGTTGTTCCTGTACTCCTGCAGCACACCATATTATTTATGGTTTGCTGTCGTACTTGTTAGTGAACAAGCTAAGTAGAATGCATATCAAGCCACCAAAACCATGAGTAGTCATGTCTTTTACTGGGAAAAAAAATCTGCTAATTCATTTACTATCCTGTCCAGAAAGGTTTGTATTAAAAAAAAAAAAAAAAGAAATTAAAATGTCACTCCATGTCAATATTGAGCCTCCCTTTGGAATTTTTGATTAGGTTGACCCGAATTGCATATTTTTTTAATGTGACAGCTGCATTAAAAGGAAAAAAAGAGATGCTTTAGCTCTTAGCAAGCGTTGGTTCAAAGAACAGTATTGGTATGTTTGCTGAAAGAAAAGTATATAAAGTCTTACCCTTTATGTTGCTCTTTGTTGGAAGTCTGTTAAAATGTGTGATGTGATGGCTATACAGTAAAAGGCACAGAAACACAGAAAAGACTGAACTTACTTGAAAAGCTGAGTTCAGAACACGGGCATTTACCTTTCCATGTAGACCTTAGATGACTAAATGCAGGAACATGGATGATAAATGTAGACAAAGAAGTCATTTCTAGCTAGCCGTATTTAAGAAATCTTTGTAAGTTATTGCTAGACTGTTTACATTAGATTGTGAACACAAATAGTAGACAGGCTTTTGCTAATCCATCTCGCTTTTCAAGCAAGAGACTTTAACATATATATATGTTATAACAAACATAGAGTATATATGTATTTATATTATTTTTGTGAAGGAAATTAAATAGATGTAAACATTTTACAGAGCTGTTCAGCGTCTATGATGATGAAGAGTATCCTTCTAACAGCTACATCTAACACCAGCACCTCTCAGCTGGCAGCATTACTGCATCTTCAGAATCATTTAAAACATAACAGAAACACAAGTGATCTTCTAAAAAATGTGGAACAGCAACTGACTGCTACTTCAATGGTAAGTTTTTGAGATGTGCTACTTATTAGGGGCTTGTATGTATGTTATATAAATACAGAGACACACATATATATGTATACATACATATATATACACAGAGAGAGAGAGAGAGATATTGTTTCAGTTCTTCCTGGGATTAAATAATATTTCATCTGTTTTCTTTAAACTCTATTAACTATTTCGTTTTCTTAATTTGAGCCATGGGTTGACTTGGTCGTGAATCGAAAAATGGTGGTGTTGGGTTGATGGTTGGACAGATGATCTTAGAGGTCCTTTCCAACCTTAATATACTAATATACAACCTTAATGATAACTAGTTTTTACTTTCATTAAAAAATAATCCAGCCACCAAGCCAGGAAACATGAAATTACTACTCTACCCTTAATTGGTTTAGTAATTTACCAATTGGACTTGGTAGTGTAGGTTAATGGTTGGACTGGATGATCTTAAAGGTCTTTTCCAACCTAAATGATTCTGTGATTCTATGAAATACATTTTTATTAGTGTGGTATCTATTGTCCCGTGGTTTTGTTTATGCTAGGTTATCTGTGTGGCATGAACTATGTAATTTAAGTCAGAAGTGAGATTTTAAGGGTGCAATTCCAGTTTGTCTTACAGTTACAGTTTGGTATAGCTAGATGTCAGAGCTGTGCTATCTACACACTTGAATCATTAATTCCATGTGAGTCTCGCCCAGTCCAGCTGAAGATGCCGTTGTAAAGGACCCTTGCAACAGAGACTCCTGTCACGGGACAGCATCCAGTCATCCTGTTTGAGATACTCAGGTCCCCATGCAAGTGTTACCCTATGGAAAGAGCCTGATTTTCTTCTTTTTTTTTAACACTCTGTCCATGAGTCTGGGCATCAACTAAGCCATGGTGTTGCAAACTGGGTATTTAAAGAAACCAACCAGTAAAATGTAATTCATGTAATTTGGTAATTTGTAGTTCTGGAGCAAATAATCGATAACCTTTCTGGGAGATAAATACTCTGTCTTTTGGTCTAAGCTGGCTGAGAACTGTGTATTCTTCGCATGTCTGAGATCTAAAAGTGGATACCGAAACTGAGATTGGAAGACCCTAGGTTAGAAACGAATGAAATTAAAAACTACCAGCAAGTTAGATACAAAGTATTAGCTGTAGGCTGGCAGGCTTTAAGCATTTACAAAATGTGGCAAGCAGAGATACAGTACAGGATAAGGAAAATACGTGTTTGTATGCTACTGTTTTTGCTTTTCTCTGTATGTACTGTGTTATCTTATTTAGCAGAAGGAACAGGATAATATTTTGTTTAGAAGCCACTGTTTTTGAGTTGCTGTAATTATCTAACTGGTAACAGATACCCTAGCTGAAAACATTCATCAAAACCCACCATGTCTGTACCTGTTGCAGTAGCTTAGGAAAGAAAAGGTGGCAATCGAGACATCTGTTCATGGCTGTATTCTTGAACTGCATGACTCCAGGCAGCGTGAGATGCAAGAAGTCAAAGTGATCACTGAAGTAGTTCTCTCTGAGAGTATATTAGTGTTTTTTAAAATTCAGTTGAGATTTTTAGTTCAGATCAGGAATGCACTTTCAAAGTGAATCTCCCAATTGTCCTTGGTTACAGTGCTTTGATTTGCATCATGGTGCAGTGACTGTATGATCTGGGTTCCTCTCAGACAAAAACTGAACCGGATTCTCTGATGCGGTCAAGCCACATTGAGTGGGTGTTCAGTCCAGGGGCCAGTCCAAAAGTACTCTGAAGTAAAAATAAGTGAAAAGTGTACAATGTATAATTTTGCTCCTGATGATCTGTACCACTTGATAATGTAGGTATACCCAGAGTGTACCCAGTATGCTTAAGCACATAAAACGTCAGTCTGCAAAGCACGTAAGCACACGTGCTTAAAGGCAGCAGTCTCAAAAAACATTTATGGCCCTTTCTGTATTAGGACCAGCTTTTCATCTGGAGTCAGACTAGGAGGTTTTTGGTTGGTTTTGGTTGTATTTTCTCAAAAAGGGTTGTATATTCTTAGGTACAGTATTTTTGTGGTGGGTTGACCTTGGCTGGTTGCCAGGTGCCCACCAAGCTGCTCTGTCACTCCCCCTCCTCAACAAGACGGGGAGAAAATATGATGAAAAGCTTGTGGGTCAAGGTAAGGGCAGGGCTATCAGCCACCCCTTACTGTCACAGGCAAAACAGACTCAACTTGGGGAAATCAATTTATTGCCAATGAATAACAGAGTAGGATAGCGAAAAATAAAACTAAAAAAGATCTTCCCTCCCCTCCCCTTCCTCCCAGGCTCAGCTTCACTCATGATTCTTCTGCCTCCTCCCCCTGCCACCGAAGCAGCACAGGGGAATGGGGGTTGCATGGGGTTCCTCCCGTGGGAGGCAGTCCTTCATGAACTTCTCCAACATGGGTCCTTCCCACAGGCTACAGTTCTTCACAAACTGCTCCGGCGTGGGTCCCTTCCATGGGGTACAGTCCTTCAGGAGCGGACTGCTCCAGCGTGGGTCCTTTCCATGGGGTCCAGTCCTTCAGGAGCGGACTGCTCCGGCGTGGGTCCCCAATTGGGTCCAGTCCTTCAGGAGCGGACTGCTCCAGCATGGGTCCTTTCCATGGGGTCCAGTCCTTCAGGAGCGGACTGCTCCAGCGTGGGTCCCTTCCATGGGGTCCAGTCCTTCAGGAGCGGCCTGGTCTCGCCAGAGGGCTTTCCATGGGGTCCAGTCCTTCAGGAGCGGACTGCTCCGGCGTGGGTCCTTTCCATGGGGTCCAGTCCTTCAGGAGCGGACTGCTCCGGCATGGGTCCTTTCCATGGGGTCCAGTCCTTCAGGAGCGGACTGCTCCAGCATGGGTCCCTTCCATGGGGTCCAGTCCTTCAGGAGCGGACTGCTCCAGCGTGGGTCCCTTCCATGGGGTCCAGTCCTTCAGGAGCGGACTGCTCCAGCGTGGGTCCCCCGCAGGTCCTGCCAGGAGCCTGCTCCAGCCTGGGCTCTCCACAGGGTCACAGTTTCTTTCAGGGCACATCCACCTGCTGTGGCATGGGGCCCTTCCCAGGCTGAAGGGTGCATATCTGCTCCACCGTGGATCTCCATAAGCTACAGGGGACAGCCTGCATCACCATGGTCTGCCTTCACCACGGGCTGCAGGGGAATCCCTGCTCCGGTGCCTCAGCACCTCCTCCCCCCCCTTCACTGACCTTGGTGTCTGCAGGGCTGTTACTCCCACATTTGCTCAATCCTCTCTTCTGGCTGCTGTGCTGTGTTTTTACCCTTTCTTAAATATGTTATCATAGGGGTGCCACCAGTGTTGCTGGTGGGCTCAGCTTTGGGCAGCGGTAGGTCTGACCTGAAGCTGCCTGAATCTCTCTGTCCAACACGGGGGCGGTTCCTGGTGTCTCCTCACGGAAGCCACCCCTGCAGCTCCCTCTGCTACCAAAACCTTAGGTAAACCCAATACAATTTTATACAGTTCCTTTTGGTGAGGTGCCTATTCTTAACAACATTGTGAAGGACTTTTACAAACATAAATGTTACAATGAATTATTCTGCTTATTCCTTTGCTAATACTCTGCTAGAATTTGATAGCATTTTAACTTCCCAGATAGTGTAGTGGCCAAAAATGTCATGTTGTTATGAAGAGTGAAGTTACAGTAGTTGTAATTTGTTTTAAGTAATACTTACAAGTTCTTCTGCACCACACAAAAATCACAATCACAGGATGGTTGAGGTTAGAAAAGGTCTCTGACGGTCATCTTGTCCAACCCCCCTGCTCAGGCAGGGCCACCTAGAGCCACTTGCCCAGGACCAAGTCCAGATGGCTTCTGAATATCTCCAGGGATGGAGCCTCCTGTCCTGGCAAATCTGCTGAGTGTTTGTTTAGGCTTTTTTTTTTTTTTAATTTTAGCACCTTCTTTCCTAGAATTATTACCAATTTTTTGATGAAAGAACTGAGATTGGAGTTTATAAGATCTATGAAAATAATGCTATTTTTGAATTATTGTACAGGCATGGAGAAATCTCTGTATTCCTGTTGAACATTTTAATATAATGGATGCATTGCCATCTAATTTCTACATAATTATTCTCCAGCATTCAGAAGACAGGTACAAAATGTCATAATTTGGTTTAGCATTCTGTTTGTTACAAATGTCATCTTTTTCTCACCTGTAAATAATCACTGTTTTGGTTGTTTATTGCCTTTTACTTCTAATTTTGCTGGACTTGAATTTTAGGATACCGAACAAATTAATACATAAATAAAACTGCCTGCAGCTCAAAGATGTACGTTTTTCTGTACTTTTGATTTCCCTAATTACCTCTTAAATCTCCAGAGGTCACTTGAAAGGTTTCAGGCTGTTCTTAGTATCCTCCTAAATTCTGTTAATAGTTTCCAGCTCTTATTGCTTATGCTCTTGAAAATGTTAGGAGGGGTCATACTTAGCTTTATAAAGCCACAAATGATGTCATTACGGTAGCCTAATTAGTGACAACTCATAAATTGAGCTATAGCAGCTGACTATGAGTACCTTCACCAATTGTGAAAAGTCTTAAACAATTGTCATAGAACAAATAAAAATCTACCTTACTGGATATATAGCAATGAAACAACTTTTCTTACAGCTCTCGGTTTGTTCTAGTTAGATTTTGAAGGTTTTGCACCCCAAGGTGGGGGTAAATACTGCATCTTGAGAGTATTTGTGAACACATTAAATTAGAGGGTAATAATTACTCATCTAATATACTTGCTTCCTATAAACAAGGCTGAACAGACAAATAATCTGCTCAGCAGTTTTCTGCTTTCCATAGATCAAATTTGTACAGTTCATTGATTGAGATGCCAAAAGGAAGCACTGCACAGCAAAAAGGAAAACCCACTCTGCCGATGGGTAAGTGCATCTTACATTTAAGAGATAAGAATCATTGCACTGATGTTATGAGAAGGCTCATATCTTTCACTGTTGCAGTCAGTAAAATTTTAAAATAATTTTTGAAATAATTGTAACTCCTATTAAAACCAGAGGAAAGTAAATACCTAAATACATGTGTTTCATTATCAGATATAATGCATCTAGTCACAATTTAGAGAATTTTTGTTTATATTTGAAGGCTGAAGTTGTTACAGATAAATAATTGTAGAGATTTTCTTCACTGTACATTTCTGTATATATTTTGTGCTAAATATATATATAAACAGTTATTTAATTTTCAAAGAATACCGTGGCTTTAGAAACTAATGGTCTCTGTACAATCATTTCTTCAAGTACAAATACGATGTCTCAAAAAGATTCTTAAGATGGTGTTATCCTCCTTTTCATAGTGCGAGCTAAAGTTTCTCGATTTCCTGTGAATCCGGATACATTTTGTATTTTGTTGGAAAAAGTGCGTCTTTACAAGCAGCAAAAGATGAAGAGCCATTTTAAACAGACTGTCATTCAAAACTTGCAAGAGTGTGTCTCCAAAACAGATGTGGTAAAATATTTCATTACCTTATATTTAAAATAGGGTGAAAAACATGTACTAAAAAACTATCATAAACACTTTATGCAGAATTTTCAGTTTATTGCAAGTGTAACATCCCTAGTCTTTACAGTTGCTAAATGCCGTGTATTCTGCTTCAAAATTTAATCTTACTGTGTTATTCTGTTACTGTTTTCAATGTCATTCAGCAGCTTTGAAATGTTCAGTAGTTTATCAGAATTGAAAATTGATGGAATTGAGATCAATTTACTTGAAAATATGCTGTACCTCTAAGATTTGCATTTGCAAATGTACATTGCCTTTCATATCACACAAAAGCCCCAGCTGTCCCAAGAAAAAAAAATGGAATCATAGATCTCAGTCCTTCAATCAAAATAAAATTATCTTAGCCAGATTTATTACCTATTTCCAACACAGAAAAGTTTCTTTCTAGGGCACGCAATGTCTTTTGCACTATAGCTGTTTATTTGGATGCAGTTGATCCAAGTCTGGTAGTCACAAAATTTTGCTTCAAGGACACATTTCACTGGAATTTCAAGTCTGTAGCTATGAACACTCTTAAATTCTAGATAATAGAAGTTTTCTGTTACTGCAAGAAGGTTCAGTCATTTAAGGACATTGTTTTTCACAATCAGTGAACACAAGTTCTGTAGCATAAAGGTACACTGGAAAAGCCTGCAACTTTCACATAAGCTTTTAAGCTGCAAGGTGACAGAAAGTTTTCTATGCATGAAATGTGCAAGTCTACATCCTAGCATTCTAATTTACTTTAATTTTGGCTCCATTAGATAAAATTCAGGTTTTCCAATATCAATCACAATTCACTGTTAAATATAGCATATTAACAAAAGCTGGTATAGACCTATTTCCATCATCAGTATAAAGTTAAAAAATACAGACCATACTGAATTTTCTGTACAAGTTTTCCTTGTTTTAATCACATAACTTTGACACATCTGGTTCTTGAGTTATAATTCTGTTTTATTCATCATGTTAGCTTTTTTCAGTTAAAATACCAATTATTGCAGATGGTTGAAGTTTGGATCACTTTTTCTCTTGTTGTAATGGCAAGTTATGTAAAGATTGCTGTAGTTGCATAAGTAAAGAAAAAGGTGATAAGATAATGTCAGGTAGAACAGACGAAAAAAAGAAGTGGCTTAGGTTTTTAAAATGCATTACAACTTTCAATAATTTTGCATGCAACCTGCACAGAGCAACACAAACGGAGCTTTGGGCGGGAAGTCTGTTCATTAATACCAACACTCTTTGCCATTTAGTTGAGCTCTTTTTTCCAGTTAGTGTTTTTGTGTCCATCTATATTGGCTTTTAGGAGCTTCAGTTTTTAGTGTCGTCTTCTCCTACATGATTCTATTCTCTCCTTATCTATTTTCTTCATTCTGTTTAGTTTTTTTATAAATTGGCTCCACTGATCTCTGCATAGGCTTTCATTTGCTGCTTCTACATTCATCTCACAGTTTCTGTTTACTTCTCAAAGTTGTCCTTTCACAATTTCTTCCTGTTATTTAGCGCACCACATTATCTTTTCTTTCTGCTAGACTTCCCTGCCATTCCCCACTGAAATTGCAGAAGTATATTAATCACTTAAATAATAAATATTGACATATTGTACTGATTCCTATGTTAGAATATTTTGCAAAATGCTGATAGGAGTAATGTTTTGAAATAAAGTAGTTTTGAAACTGACTTTCTATATTTATATTTTCCATTTTATGACGTTTCAAATTATTTGATTTAGCCTCTGATTTAGCATAATACACCCTCCATCCTTGTTAAATAGCATTTTGTAAGTATTCTGGTTTTTGTTGTAATGTATGTGATAGACTCCGACAGAGAAGGTGTATGATAACGGACGCAATTTGACATCAGATTTCTCTGAAATACTAAAAATTATGGAAGAATACCTGAAACCGGTGCTGTCACAGTTTGATTTTTCTGATATCAGGTAAGACATTTAGACTTGTTTTATCATCATTTGTGAAAATAGAACAGTGACTCAAGTCCTACAAATATAGGAATGGTTTTAGCAAGAATAGACCCTGTTGAATGAACATTTAGATCTTGAAGGACAGTATAGGCAGGGTATGCAAGACTAGGAGGATTGAACCCTATGATAGACTAATGGCCATCTCTAAGAAGCACTGTTCCCCAGCTTAAGTTGTACAATATTCAGTTGAGGATGAAACATTATAATTTAGTTGAGGTTGGGATTTCCAAAGGACAGGAACTCCAAAGGGTTATCCTATGTGTAAAATTTCACTGAGATTGAAGCAGTTTTGTGTCTGTGTTTCCTGTGAAAACTTTTACTTACATAAGTATTAGTGCTGGTAATATTTTCGCTGTAATTCCTTTTCCCAGAGAACAGAGCACATCGGTTTCAGCAGCTGAATCAGGAAAAATAAAAGTGAAAGATAAGGACCCCAAACACACTGGAATGCGGGGTATGTGCTCTCTTTAGTACAATATATATACGTGTATGTATGGACAGATACCAAAATTCTGTCATTTTAGTTTCAATTTTTTTGAAGCCAGGGAGAAGAAAAAGGCTTTAGCAATGGTTTTGTCTGTTTATTTTCTATATCAAGTCAGTTATTTTAGTATACTTCCAAAGAGATTATTTATACACTGGATGGAGCTATCCTTCTGCATGTATTTACAGTCTTCCAAACTATACAGGCCTTAGACAGCTAAAAAAAATGGCTTTATTACAAACCAGTCTTTTCAGGAGAAAGGCCAAAAGAAAGAACTTTCTTCAGTCTGTTGATCTCTTTTTGTTTTGTCTTTTTCTGCTTTTTACTTCATGGACTCTCACAGGTTGTTTGCTTTAATGCAAGCCTAACGCTGGAGTATGTCCCTAAACACATTCCAAGAGAAGAGGTGATCAAGTCCATGGCTTGCTTTGGTGATGAGTTTTTTGCTTTATGGTGGGGAGCAGTGAAGTTTCTCAATTAAAAATTACTAAAAAAAGATACACACTTGCATTTGCTTTTACCTGCAAGAGTTTCTTCCTGCAATCTGGCAGCTGGCTGCTTTTGTTGTTCTGCAAAGACTGAATAACTTGTCTTCCATGTATTTGTTGTTTCTCTGTAGAACAGGAAAACGTTGTCATAATGTTATTCAGTATTTTTTTCCTAAATAACAGAAACAAAAATTTTCCTACAGAAAGACACAGTTAGTATTGGATAAGAGCTCCTTTACAACGCTATGCTGTTTAGCCAAACGCTGCTAAGGCAATTTTGCATTTCCAAACATCATTTTCTTGAATACATTGCATACACCTGAACTTTGATCTGAGATGGTTGGTTATTAATACGGGGACCTTTTTCCCTCTGAAGAATCAGTGCTCGCAAGTGCATATGCATAGTTTGCATATGCGTATGTATTAGAAGTTTGACAACATCTTAGGAGTAATGGTAATAAAAGAAATATTTTTGCATAATGCACTTAATCCACAGTAAAATGGAGTTCAGGTGTCACACAATAGAGGAAATTTAGGTTTTTTACATCTAACTTCAATTATTTATATACATACTGAGAACTACTAAATCTCAATCATGTTCTGTCACATTTCTTCAGGTACACCTATGGATTTAGGATTGTGTGTAGTATTACTAGCAGATACATTATTTATGGAATTGCCTTTGGAAGCTCTGAGTATCTTTAAAGAGGAAGGAATAAGTTCTGTATCCAGAGATTTTTCTCTCCAGATTCTCTACAATCGAGTACATCTGGCTGAATCAGGTACTGTTAGATAAACATTCTTTGTATCAGCATAATGATGTGGCGAACAAGATACTTAAAATTTAAATAATATGAATGTTGCATTATATTTTACTGGAAGTTGCCATATACAATAGTCTTCCAGTATTTTAGATGGAATAGGTAGTACAGTAGACCTATTTCAGTAATGTACAGGCTGATTGTAGTTGCAGTGCTAGCTAATTTAAAATAACCCTACATGTTAAAGAATTATGTGAAAACAGTGGAGTCTAAATTGGCTTGCAGAGTTTCAGTTATACAAGTATGGTCTTAAACTCTTCAAAGCTGTTTTCAGCTGCACTGAAAGAAATGAAGTAAGAATTTAGACTTCTGTTAATTTTCTTTAACATAGTGTAAGACTTTGCTCAAAATATCAAATGTAAAAAACTTCTAATCATTGAGCTACTTCCTCTCTGTATAGCTAAGATTACATTAAAGGCTCAGGTCAATCCAGCAATTCTTGTGCTATGCATAAGCAAAATCAGATCCCAAAGGCTTTATGGACTTCTTTCATTACTGCAGACACTTGCACCCTATATAAACTCTTCAGTGAAATGAGGTTAAGTGAGGTAGTTGGACAGTTGGTAAACTTGTCCTTGTGGCATCTTAAAATTAATTTCTTATTTATTCTAAAAGTGAGTAACAAATGCAGGCACTAAGCAGGTTTTTTTATAAATCAGAGATACCTTCTATTACTGAAGTAAAAAATTTCAAGTCATGTTTTGCTCATACATAGATAAAAACACATTTTAACTAAAATTAAGTTATTAAAACTAGTAGGTCTAAGCTAAAAATAGTCTAAGTTTAGAAAATCTCACTCTGTACCATGAAAGTATGCTATTCCAGAGAGGTTCTTTTATTGTGTTCATATCTGTAATATTTAGCACCTTCAGTATAACCTATAACCTGTTTTTCCATTTCACCCCTCTTTTGTAAAGGGAAAGAATTGTGAATAATGTGAGATTAGAATATTTTTGGTCTACATACACATTCATACACTGTTACAGGTCTGTTAGAAGTAGGAGTTTTAGAACACATGGGGGGTTTTTTCAGTTTCTGTTTTTCCCTTTTTTGAAGTGAAGCTTCTTATGGTTACATAATTTTAGAAATGGATAAATGCGAGGAAGCATAGTGGAAAAGTCTCTGTTCACGCAGTTATGAAAGTAGCCACTGAATGAGGAGAGAAACACTAGCCATATGACCAATAATGCATAGCTCAAACTTCCACCAATTTGCAGTGCACTCCACTGGTAACTGGCTGAGACGTGTGCTTTGGGTGATAGTCATATATAGTGAGAAATACGTCAGTTTTCTGTGCTTTTTTTTAAAAAAATCCCTTCAAGAAAGAAAAAATCAGATTCAGATATGAAACTTTCTTTTCCCTTTCAATCTCTGCATGTCTCACAGAAGCTTCAGTTATTCCAGTAACATCAACAATGAATAGATATGGCGATAGGCTTGGAAAGTGGTTTGGTAATCACTGTTCAACTCTGTCCTAAATCTGCAATGTAATGAAGCATTTGGATGTCTTAAGGGATCACATCTATTGCTTGTTTTCCACTTTCAAGCCATTATTTTTAGGCAAGAGGGTTTGGGGCATGTCCTTGCCTTGCTGTGATGTGAAATTAATTTTTATTTTTCTACTTTAATCTGTTATCATTAGTACATCATAAGAAATAGAAGTAGTCCTTGAAGAAAGTTGTGTTTTCTAAAACTGCCTATATCTTAAAAAAAACACCTGTTCTTTTCAATTCCACAGAGACTGCAGTTAAAACAGATGTTGAAATGTCTAAAGAAACAAAATCAAAAGCTCATCAGAAAAAGAATGTCAAAATGGTGAACTTTCCATATTTTTTAAGTAAACTCAATAGGAATAGCTCTTCATTTTGTGTAAAAAAATGTTAAAGGACTACAAGTGGCTTGCATAGAAGCTCATATATGCTAGAATTCTGAAGTGGAATAAATACAGCACATAAGTCGCTAAGAATTTTGCTTCTTGTTGATTTTTGGAATTGTTTCTTTGAAAAATTACACTCTCTGTGTAAATGTGACATATTTAACAACCCATCAAGGGAGCTGTTTAAAGTTACTAAAATACTTCCCCCAACAATGAAGTATATTTTATATAGTGTATGCATATATTTTTATAAATATATATGTATGTATGCATATATATCTATATATGTGCACACACCTGTATGTATATGTAATGTGTGTATATGCATTGTAGATAATGCAGAACAGCTTATGCTTTTAATTTCAATTGACAATTGAGTATCATGCTGCTTTTAATCCTATCTTCAAAACTTTAGGACATCTTTTTGTTAGTTGTTTGACACAAAGAGTGCAATACTGTTAATATTTGATTGAGACTTGTACATGTAATAGAATATGTATTCTTTTTAATTGTAGGCACGAATTAATCGTGATTTACCTGCTCACTGCTTGCCCGTTGATAATCATAATTTTAAATGTATCCTTTCACAAACTAAACTATTAGCTAAGTGTATGAGTTAAACTTTCTTTTTTTGTTGCTTACATTGCATTGTTTATACTTAACGGTTTATCAGATATTGTGGACCCCTATAATGAAGGAAGAGAGGCAGGTAATATATATTAAATAATATTATCTCCACAAACTACCCATGGAGTTTAGACATTTTTGTGAAGAGGTCTAAAATGTCACATGACGTTTGTTGTCATCTTGATGTCAGAAAATGAAGTCATGACATCAAGCTGTTGACAAAAAGGCTTATCTTTTCATCAGAATAGTACTGCTTATCACCTGTCAAATGGTGTATCAGTGAAACAATATAACCTGTTTCAGGTTCAGGAAAGAAATTAGATTGTCTTATTATTTCTTTCATATCACTAAATATTGACCTAATGTCACTAAGAAAATAATTACTTGAGTAATCTTTCTTACTGTGTAATTCAATTAAAAACACATGCTTACTTTCAGAAACTTGTTATAGCATTTTTAGTTTTTCAAATATATGCCATTAAGATACAGTATCAGTAGTGTGGGGAAGGATAAAGGTTAATTGAAAAGATATGATGCTTTGTATTATCTTCTTTGTTATACAAGAAATTTGTTTGAAAGCCGTGAATGGGCTTGGAACAAATGGTACAGAGTGAGAATGGACTGGGACAGGAACGATTGGACTCACCACACCTGTACAGCAATTCTCAAGCTAAAGACTACAAATAAAGAATGCGTAACATGTAAAGTTTCTGCAGTCCTTTGAAAGGTGAAGGTTACTATGACAGACACAAACAGCCCTATAGGGATATTTGAGAGGGTTGCTATTTCCTTTTGGAACGTATTTATCAAGGCAGTAGGCATTTACTATATTAGAATAGAACAGAATGTTTCAGTTGGAAGGGACCTACAGCGATCATCTGGTCCAGCTGCCTGGCCACGTCAGGGCTGACCAAAAGTTAAAGCATGTTATTAAGGGCAGTGTCCAAATGCCTCTTAAACCCTGGCAGGCATGGGGCATCGACCACCTCTCCAGGAAGCCTGTTCCAGGGTTTGAACACCCTCTCGCTAAAGAAATGTTTCCTAATGTCCAGTCTGAGCCTCCCCTGATGCAGCTTTGAACCATTCCCAGGCGTCCTGTCCCTGGATGCAGGGAGAAGAGCTCAGCACCTCCCTCTCCGCATCCCCTCCTCAGGAAGCTGCAGAGAGCAATGAGGTTGCCCTTCAGCCTCCTTCTCTCCAAACCAGACAGACCCAGAGTCCTCGGCCGCTCCTCAGAGGACGTGCCTGCCAGCCCAGGCACCAGCTGGGTTGCCTTTCTCTGGACGTATTAATTCAGTCTGACACAGACACTTTAATAATACAATTTTACCTCACTTTGTCTCCCAGTGTGTGCAATAGTTTAACTGATTCACAGTCATTAACAAACTCACATGTGTATCAAATGCCAAAAATGGATTTAATGGAGGTTTTTAATTGAGATAGTTATTAAACCTAAAGTCAACACAAAAGAAGCTACTGAACAATCAGTAGCATAATAGAGTATGTCTCCATGTGTTCGCAGTGTCTCCTTCGCAGCACATCAAAATAAAACAGTTTACCTGTTGTGGTTTAGCCCCAGTGGGCAACCAAGCACCACAGCTCACCCTGCCCCCGCAGTGGGATGGGGAGAATTGGAAGAGCAGAAGTGAGAACGCTCATGGGCTGAGATAAGAACAGTATAATAATTTAATAATAATAATAATAAATGCTAATGAAAAGAACAACGAGAGAGAGAAAAACAAAACCCAGGAAAAACAAGTGATGCCACCGCACACCACCCGCCAACCAATGCCCAGCCCGTCCCTGAGCAGACATCGCTGCTCCCCGGCCAACCCCCCCAGTTTCTATACTGCCCGTGACGCCGTATGGTATGGAATCGCCCTTGGGGCAGTTGGGGTCAGCTCTCCTGGCTGTGCCCCCTCCCAGCTCCTTGTGCCCCTGGCAGAGCAGGGGAAGCTGGAAAGTCCTTGCCTGGCATAAGCAGCACTGAGCAACAACTAAACCATCAGCGTGTGATCAGCGTTATTCTCCTCCTAAATCCAAACCACAGCACTGTGCCTGCTGCTGGGAGGAAAATTAACTCTATCCCAGCCCAAACCAGGACATTAACCATGTGCTCAATATCTGGCTCTAGAGCGTATCTTTAATTTACGCTAGTATGAAAATGTAGTGAAAAAAGAGAAAATGAATTTTCATTAAATATGCAATGTCCTTGGAGAGCAGAGGTGGATTTGGAGTTTTGCTTTGTGAAAGGAGGACTCTGGAAACTCAGTTATTTTCTCCATCTACTTAAGTCCTCTCTAAGCCTCTGGAACAGAATTGTGTGAGCAGTGCTGGTGTTTTCAACACTTTACACTTTTCTCAGGGTATCTAGAATTAGATAGGTGGGGTTTTTGTGTTTTTAACCTGTCTACCAAATAATCCTTGTCAGTTATAAAATATACCTTTCAAATGGGAA